TTCATAATTGGGAAAAAACTACAAATTATAGATATAAAGAATTTGTTTCATACCTTAGAGGTCCTCGTGGAGTTTGGTGCTAAAGGCTGGGATGCAGTAATGCCGTCTACTGTACTCTGAAGAACGCTTGACATAATTTAATGCCAACACTAATGTTTCGGGACAGTTCTGATGTCAGCAAGGAGAGTGACTTCGCTGGATTTCATATGCCACAAAATAAAATAACTGTGTGTGATTTAATGGAGTAAGCAACTCTCTTCAACTGAACATCCTATTGCATCTACTTCTGCTACCCCAGATGTCATCTGACACAAGGACCCAGACAATGACTTAAAGTACCCAGAAGTCACCCCAGTTGAGACCCCAGAAGTCACCCCAGCTGAGACCCCAGATGTCACCCCAACCAAGACCCTAGATGTCACCCCAGCCAAGACCCCAAATGTAACTCCAATGTAGTGTGGATTGGATGTGTGTGTACGTACCTGCACTGTACATAAATTTGGGTGCAGAATCAGTAATCACTTTATATAAGTTAATTGATTTTTTTTTATTTCTTCATTTTATCTTTATTTTTTTGTTTTCTGTATTTCTACTTTATTTTCATAATTTGCTTGTTTAATTTTCAGTAAGTAAACTTATTACATTTCTGTTTTTTCTGTACCTCTGTATTTATTTTATTTCTATAGTTTTTTTATTTTTCCTTATTTGTTCTTTATTTTCTTTATTTTATTATCTAATTTGCTGTTCAGATATTTTTTCTTCTTTACAGGTGAACATCACCTATTTATGTACAGGTACAGGTACCGTAACTATTTTGTCATTTTAAGTGCAGAAAGAAAATTATTGTTTATCTATTTTCATTTATTACAATTGCACTGTACATACTGTATTATGTTACTGTAGTTGAAATACCTTGCCTGTACAGGTATTTCATATTCATATTTCATTCTTTATCCTTTTGCGTGCATATTTACTTATATCATTTACATTAAAACTGTGTGACAACAACAATACTATGTATCTTACAAAGACTACCAGTGGTTCGGAAAATTCTGTAGTCCGGCACCGCTCAGGTCCAAAGGGTACCAGATTAGGGAGGTTCAACCTGTACAAGTTTGATTTTGGGCATTATATATTTTAACTATTAGGTGCTCACGAAATGAGTTACAATGTGAGAAATTAAGTTAAATAGTATGGTAAAAACTTCCCGGGTAGACGTTTCCCCATACCAGACCCCCCAGCTCAAAATTTTTATTTTATTTAATCTTTTTCAAGACCCAATCACATCCCTGAAATACAGGCCACATGAAGATTAGACACCCTAAAACTACCTTGCAGGGTTGTTAGGCCAGGTTAGCATTTGGATGTGTAATCACCAGGTGAAATAAGCTGGGGTGTCTAATCTTCATGATACTGCTTTGCCTTGTACAGGATGGAACAGGGTGCCCCATGCTTCATGGGGCATGTCTGAAATCTGAAGGCTCTGTTTATTGTGTAACGTACCATCAGGATCAGTTCTAGGGTTTTTGACATCTGAGTATTCTGAAGTTTGGTGGCCTTAAGACATACCGGCATCCGGTGTAGTGCAAAGAAATAATTTTTTTTTCATAATTGGGAAAAAAACAAATTATAGATATATAAAGAATTTGTTTCATACCTTAGAGGTAAAAGAAACGAGTTCATGCACAATATCAGACATTGAAAACCTTTCATTATTATAACATACCTGTAATACTACATAGGAGTTATTGACCATAACATACCGGTAACACAATATTCTGTCCAAAAGTTTATGCACTTGTGCAGCAGAGGCAGAAAACAAAACATACAGGTGCTGGACTGTACCAAAAAATTAAGTTGATTCCAGGCAACACATGTAGATATGTCATCACCTACTGTAATAGCTACCCAGTTCTGGTTATCAAGACCCACTCCTTCATACTGTACAAGTGTGCTCTGACCTAACCAGGCTAACCCAGGTGACAGCCATGACTTATTTGTCGCTTCCCACAACAGTAATGAATTAGCCCTTTGACTACATACCAGACAAAGTTCATATTTTATCTTTATTATTACAGTACTGTATTATTATTTTTTGACTCCCCAGGTTAGTGGCCAGCTTGCTGGAGCCTTGTTTACAGTACAATATTACTAGTGCATTACCATACACTGTATGACTGATGACTGTATAAAAAGGCATTAGCATAATATTCAGGTACTGGGTTGATTTTGCTTTTGAAGGTTGTGAATAGCAACCATTAGTCTGTAATGATAGCTGAGTACCAAGATATTTAGCTAAATTCCCAGATGTTGGTCCATGTTACTGATCCTGTCATGGAATTATCATGAATAAAGATGACCAGAAGATAACCACATTGTTCCGGAGAGGCTCACTGGTAGGGTTCCCAACACTGTACTGCACTCTACTATCATGTACCTACCGGTATTGTAAGAATTAGGCTATTTCAATTTGAGTACAAATCAGTCTTTGTATTATACATTTTTATAGAATAAAACCTCATCTACATAAAATGATTATTAGTTTACAGAAGTGGTCAAGACTGTGTTAAAAATTCTTGGTTTATGAGTTATTACAGTATTGTACAGTAAACTAATGTTCAAAATTTGTACCACAATTAGATATACTGTACAGTACCAGGTATGCTGTTTATATTTACTGTATACTGTACTTTACTGTATAGCTGCAGTATATACTATATAGTTACATATTTGCATCACTGTAAAACTCTTGTAGTTTCTTTATTAACCCTCTTCCCTTGACAGTTTCCATGTTCATTTCTATAACATGTGTTGTCTAATTGTGTATTTGACCTCATTGGTGACCTGTGCTGTATGTCGTAATTTACCAACATGTGACAGTGACCTACCATGCAGATGGCCAAACACAAAATTTGATCATAAATATTGATTTTGATAATTGGTTTATGTCAGGTCACTGCCCAGAAAATGTTGAAAAATTTCATCAGCTGTGGCCTTCAGTGTTAGTTGAGTTTAAGAGTTTTGCTGATCACTGAAATTGAAGTGAGGGTTTTAATACAGTACAGCTCCTCCCTGACTTACAGCCTACCCGACTTACGACCACCTACACTTACCACCTGCCTCAGTCGTACCAAATTTTTGTCAAATTACGTATTTTCGAGTCCCAACGTCAGTACACAGACAAAATTTTTGTTTGTAATTCTATTTAAAATGGCTGGCAAGCTTAAAAGTGAGAGTTTTGTGGTGCTGAGAAGAAAAAGAGACACCCATTTTAGATTTTCTATGTATTATTTAAGTCTTTTCGACTTACGACCTGGATTTCGGTCCCTAACCCTGTTGTAAGTCGGGGAGGAGCTGTACTGTACTATACAGGCATTCCCTGTTATACGAAGATATGTTTTACGAAATCCGAATTTATAAAAAAATTATTTTGTCCCAGGTTTGGATTTACGCAAGATTTTTTTTAATACTTTTTTTGTGTACAGTATACTATATGTTTCAGCATTGGAATGTGCAGACACAGACACCACAGGGCCTAGTTAGTATATAAAGACAATCTAAAAGCAACATACTGTAATGAGGGGGATCTTATATTAGAAATAATAGTAAGAAGTTATAGTTGAAGGATAAAGTGAGGATGTTTGGTAGCGTGGCCGGTTAGTTATTGTGTATTATATTCGTAGGGGGAATCTTTCTAAACACCACTTTCAATACAACTATTTACTAATTAACTGAATGACATGGACACATTAATAGATCAATATATCGCAGTTACAAGACACAGACTCTCGGACACAGACATGAAACGGATACACTTCCCACCATAAGTAACTTGCTCTTGGATTGCTCTGACAAAGACTTATGTGTGACCTGAGGAAGGCCCAGCAGGTGCTGTTGATGGGAGTGCTGGACTATGTCTCCTGTTGGAGACTGCTAGCTGGAGATGCGGTGCTGGGGAGGAGCTGTTAGTTCCTTCCCTATTACAATAATAATCCGATTACGACTGTCATTGAGAGGGAGCTGCAGGGCCTTTATATTGGCGTGAGCCAGAATATGCTGTCGCAAATCTGGGTGTGTCTGGACAGGTGATAGGTGTACTCGCTGGAGGGTAGCTTCTTGAGTAACACAGTCATGTCACCGGGTTAAGCTAATCGCGTGGCGGTGAGGACTGGATCAATGAGACTGACATCTCTTGGGTCAGGTCTTACTGTCACTGTAGGATGTGTCAACCTATGTGGGTTACCACATGGGCATCTGCTTACTGTTATATGTTGTTCTTCTCTGGGCTGTAAGCTGTGGTCTGATAAACAATCGTTACAATACTATACATTGTTGTACTGTATTAGGAGTGGTTAGCTAAGCTGAAAGTAAAATACAGTTATCATTGCTTACTGGATCATTACATGAAGCACTGGGAAGATGCTGACTATGAAAGCACTGATATGTTTGGTACAGTATCTGTCAGTGGAAAGATTGGAATTTTAAATGGATAAGTTATTACTGTATTTCTTCTTCAGATAAAACCACATAAAAAATCATATCCAGTGAGGGAAATGCATTACAAAATGTACTGTATTTACAATGCAATAGCTTACTGTTGGTGTGTCACTGAAATTAAAACCATGTGCTTTGGCTGAGCCTTGCAGTCTTGCACTACAATATCTCATAAGTATTGGTACAGTACTGTATATAATTATTACTTTACTTTATATAATTACATAATTTTCAATTAAAATGTGTTTTGTAACATTTTAAAGATTTGGGGGGTATTTTTTTCTGTAGAAAATGGGATCTGATTTATGAAAGATGTTAGGAACAGAACCGTTTTGCAAATTTGGGACTACCTGTAGCTTGGTACAGTACCTGTAGTGTTAAGTCTGTATATTAGTAAAGTCGTTAAATATTAAGAGTTCATTGCTATTTTAAATAGTGTTTATAAAAGTAAATGCAATGTGTGCTGATTTTCTTCTTATCAGACTAATTAATTGCATCTTTTCCAGTGTATAGTATCATTGCCATCAAACTACAATGACTCGTGAATACCCTAAGACAGGAAGAGCCAGCCTGATTAATCGTAGAGTTTCACAGAAGAATATATGCAGTACTTCACGAAGGCGGACCCCTTATTCCAGCAAACCTGTTTCCAAAGGGTCTATGTCTTCTAGGTCTAAGAGGCAAAAGTCAGCTACAGTTTCAAATATACAGTGTTCAAAAAGGACTACAAGAAGTGGTGATAAAGTACTTAACTTGGCTGAACCAGAGCCTTCACCCACCCCAGATGATGTACAGCATGACACTCATACATCACCAAGCACCACCACCACTCGTCAACTTCGTGATAACACCTCTTTCGAAAGATCTCTGAAGCTGTCTGATCTCAGGCCAGCGACACTTTCAAAAAGATTAAAAGCATATCAGGATAAAGTTATGTCACCTAAAAGAGCAAAAATTAAGCATAAAGGTGATGAAGATGATGATGATGATACTGATGATGGCGATGACAATGATGATGACAGTGAAGATGATTCTGAAGAAACCAAAGGAAGGGCCTCACTTAGATCTGAACAAGGTCACAGCTGTGTTAAAGAGAATTCAAAACCAAAAGTATCTCCAGCGAGAGGAACCTCAGATCATAGGACTACTCGAGCAAGGCGAACCCAAACACAAAGATGGGTTGAAGAAATAGATTCATCTTTAAAGAGTTCCGATACGAGTGACTTGGACTGTACGAGTGGCGCTCCAGTCAAACCACGACCCACCTATGGTTCCAAAAGACCTTTTGTAGACCACCAGGGACATCATGTAAGTGTGCCACTACTAATAAGAAGGAATGGCAGTAGTTTTGTGATTTTTTTTCTCTCTCTGCATCTTCATTGATGTGATTGTATTTTAGTTTTTCATCAATTTAGTTCATAGGGCTTGGAAAAATTTTATTGCTGTTACAAAGTAGTAAACAATATGGTACAGTACACAATATGTCCTGGATTAACCTGTTTTGAGCCCGAGGACTTGTTTGGATTGAAGAAATTTTACCTTCAACCAATAACATGAACAGCAGCCAAATCAAGACCATTTTCACCTAAATAATAATGTTTACATGTCAAGAGGAAGCCTTAGGTTCATTATCACTGTACTTGTTAGTACCTTTCTTTATTTCAAGGCTAGTGTCACAATAGCTACTGGCGTCTTAAACGCGAGTAGTCCATTTAAAGGCAGTTATTGAAGTTATCATCATTGCTTTACAACCATTTTCCATGCTTCCATGGATTGGTCATAATTCTCTGTTGGCAGCTTTCCATGCTGCAAGGTCTCTAGTCAGGTGCCTATCTCTGAGGTCATTCCTTATAACCTCTCTCCAAGTAATTCTTGGCCTTCCCCTCGTTCTCCTCCTCTTCACATTCAGATTCCTGTATCTCTTGACCCAATTGTTCTCCTTCATTCTTATGCCCGAGCCATCTGAACATTCCTTTGTGCAAAACCTTGCCAATATTCTTGTTACCCAGCCACCGACTTATCTATGAACAGGGTTTCCTATCTCTCGCCATCATATTACAGCTGAATTTTATCATTCTCATTTCAGCTTGCTCATGCCTATGTATGTCATCCTCTTTAACTGCCTATGTTTCACTGCCACACAACAACACACACACATCATACATTGGCTATAGTATACAACTTTCCTTTCAAGAGAAGAGAAGGTCCTCTCATCATCAATAAAGGCAATACCTCTAGTTCCTTAAACATCTTCCAGTCACTTCTGATTCATGCAACTGAGCTCGCTTCAGCACCACCTTTAGCACTAATCATGTCTGTCAGGTAGCAGGGATGTGATTTTTTCCAGCCTTGCTAAAGCTACTCGATCACCTGCATATTCAACATACTTTAAGTCAACAACATCCTGCAGTCTCCCATTTACACCATAGTTCCTCTTGTGTACACACCTTCCACACACACACGTGTCCCTTTTCAACACCACATACACTACCACAGGTCCTTCACCCATGCCTGTTAATCATGTTAATCATTACTTTTGCTCTTGTCACACACACATTCTCAAACATTTCTTAAATTTCTCCAGTATCCTTTCTTCATCAGTACACAACTCCCAGGGTAGAGTAATCCTAATTTTCTCATTGCCCACTGTACTACTCCACATGGTACCAGTACCAAGTTGAATGCTTTCTCTAAGGCTACAAATACAAAGTACTTCACAGCTTTCTCTACTTCCTTAAATTTTTTCTTGTTCCCTGGCCATAAATATTGCCCCTAGTCCCCCAACTTGGCAGGAATTCAAACTGCATTTTGTTATGTTTAGTCTATCCCTTATCAGTTTCTTGATCACTTTCCATAACTTTCATAACCTGATTTCACATCTTCAGGCCCTTTCGTTCCTTTTTTCAAGGTCTTCACGTTTTCCCTTGTAAGTATTGGCAGTCTCTTCTGCCAGTCAGCGGGAGCAGTATATTCCATCATGATTGCATTAATCATTTTGGTCACCATCGACGCACTAACATATATGTTGCTTTCACCAATTCTGCAACTATTCCAGAGCTTAAGCAGCTTTTTCATTCTTAATTTTGTCAGTAGCTTTCTTCATCCATTCTATTTCAATCTTAGGGCCTTTGCTGCTTTTAGGCTGCCCCTGTCCCATTTGTACTCATCATTCAGCAGTTGTTTGTAGTTTTTGTTCCAAGCATCCTTGAATCACTATTAACAACCCCACTACCATGGCCATTTCTCACACATATAACCAACAACTTCCTTCTAGCCGCTGCTGTAGTTGCCTTGCTATTATGTATACTGTGCCTCTTGCATCTGCTATTTTTAACGTATTTACAACCCTATGATATAGTTTATACCACGAATGAGACCATTTGCAATTTTAACTTTTATGGATCACATGAAGATTAGTCCTCCCAGATAATTTTCGTGTGGTTAATCTGAGGGGTGAAACATCAGATGAGCACCTGGGACTAATCCTCAGGTATCCATAAAGGTTAAAATTGTGAGTGATCTTGTTTGTGGTCTAGACTATATCATGGCTGCAAATGTTTCTTAGCCTTGTAAACTTCTCTTATGGCCCTGCATTTGGCCTCCGGATACTACGCTTTGCCACCACCCATCTTCCAGGCCGTATACAATCTTCTTTTCTTATTTTTCACCCAGTCCTTTCATCGTTCCACCACCATATTGCTTCATTGTTGCTTGGGTCCTTTGTCCAACAACACATCTTATCAGCTTTGTGAAGAAGATATCTCACTACATTACACTACCTCCACACTGGCCATGGCACATTCCACTCTTCTCAATCCAGCATAAAATGTTTCCATTACATTTTGTTCCTTCAGTTTCCACACACTCCTTCTCTGAACACAAAATGTTTCTTTTCCTTTCCCAGCACTTTTGAAAAAAATATGTCCCACACAGTGGCGTGTCGTGAGAAAATGCTAGGGTAAGCAAATGACGCTTTCTTACTTGTAAAGTCACGAGATCTAAAAGAATTCTTTAGTAGATCACATACAGTCTGTATGTGATCTACTAAAGAATTCTTTTAGATCTCGTGACTTTACAAGTAAGAAAGCGTCATTTGCTTACCCTAGCATTTTTCTCACGACACGCCACTGGTCCCACACAAGCTAGCTATAGCCTTTATATTCCTAACAAGCTTCCTGTATTATGGTAAATATATTTGTTTGATGTATTAGATATAATAACATACAGGTGTTACAGTCCTCTGAATTTAAAAAAAAAAAAAAAATAAAATCTTATTTTATTTTTTTCAGCTTATTTCCAAGAAAAATGTATTGGCACACGTTGAGAAGACTGGTCGAGCAAAATCCTCCTCATCTAAGTCTTCTCGTAAAGAAGTTGCTGCAATTGAAGCTGCTGCGATGAAGATGTCTCCAACTGAAGCTCGCAATGCAAAATCCACCACAAAATCCAATACTACTACAACAGAAACTGACATTACAAAGTCTACTTCAACAAGAGCTAGGTGTGCAAAGGCCTCCATTGATGATGCTGAAACTGTAAAATCTAATATAAGTCGAAAATTTATTACTCGATCTTTCGATTCCAAATATGCAAAACTAAAAAGTGGTTCAGAGATCAGCACATCAAAAGTAAATCCTGTAGATTCTAACATGGCAGGAACTCATAATAGTGGAGTTGATATAACACAGTCCATTATAAAGCATGGCTCAACAGATGACTGTGTAGCACCAAATGTGTGTTCAAACACCACAACAGAAACTGATGGTATCAGATTAACCAGATCTAGAGCTAGTACTGGAAATTTAACCACAATTAAAACTGAAGCTGTAGATGAAGTTGCAAAAACAAAAACTGATGGTACAAAAAGTAAGACAGATATTGGTAATGCAGAAACTTCAGGAGAAACAGAATATGCAGAATTCACAGGAAACACTGCCAAAACTAGACCAACAACTACAGTTAAGGCTAGGAATAAAAGGAGTTTTATAGAAGAACCCTCGACAGAACCTGATACTACAGAACCTATTAAGAAGAGAGCTGTTGCTACCAGGTGTACATCAAGACTTGATATAAATACTGAGGAGAAAGATAATGTAGAATCTACTGAAGCTGATTTTGTTATTACAAGACCTGATACAGGAAACTCTGAAACTGCAAAATGTACCACATTAACTGATACTGTAAAATACAGCCTTATAAAATCTATTGCATCAAAATCAGGTGATGTAGGATCTACTACAGTAAGATCTGGAAGTGCAGAATCCACCCCAACAAGATCTGGAAGGGCAGAATCTATCCCAGCAAGATCTGTAGGGGCAGAATTCATTCCAACAAGATCTGGAAGGGCAGAATCCATCCCGACAAGGTCTGGGAGGGCAGAATCCACCCCAACAAGGCCTGGAAGGGCAGAATCCATTCCAACAAGATCTAGAAGGGCAAAATCCATCCCAACAAGATCTGGGAGGGCAGAATCCACCCCAACAAGATCTGGAAGGGCAGAATCCATCCCGACAAGGTCTGGAAGGGCAGAATCCATCCCAACAAGATCTGGAAGGGCAGAATCCATCCCGACAAGGTCTGGAAGGGCAGAATCCACGCCAACAAGATCTGGAAGAGCAGAATCCACCCCAACAAGTTCTGAAAGTGCAAAATCCATAGTAGATGAAGCAGATTCTACTACATCTAAAACTGATATTTCAAAACTCAGAAATGCAAGATCTGATGCTCAAAGACTGGTTAAAGAAGAGTTGAATGTTATCAGTCTTACTTCACTCAAAATTAATCCTTTGAAATCTACATTAGAAACAGATGATGCTGTAAAGTACACTACAAGATCTGGGGATACTGCAAAAGATGCTGTTAATTCAAATACCGCAACAAAATCTGATTCCATTAGAATTACTAGAAGAAGAGCTGATGCTGTAAAATCATCCATGGGAGAGACAGGAACTGCAAAGACCACAATAAGGTCTGTTGAATCATATGGTACAGTAAACCCAGCGACAGAAAGTAATAAAACCAAAATGTCGACAATATCCGAGAGTACAAAAAACACAATAGCATCTGATAATACAACAATAACGAGGAAAACTAATAGTACAAAACACATAGCGGAATCTGAAGTAACAAAATCCACAAGAGGAACTGGCAGTACAGAAGTTACCCCCAAAACCACAGAAGATACTGAAGGTGCCAAGATGCTCACTGTTGGGGGAAAGGTCAAACCCAAAGTTGATAGTGCACAAACAGCAGAAGAAAATACAACTGAGACTGATGACATAAGAATCACAAGAACTAGGGCCAATACAACAAAATCTGTTATTTATGAGTTGTCCTTGACAACTGATGGTGATAAATGGGTGAGAGAGGAATGTGATGTGATAAATGTCACTAAGCCAAAATCCACTACATCAGCAACTGGTAATAATGAAGGCATTAATATGAAAAACATTAAAATTTTGGGTTCAGCACAAAATACTGGAGCATGTATTCAGGGTTCAGGTAACACTGCAAACTTTAATAATATTAGAATCACCAGATCTAGAGTTGTTCCAGTAAAATCAGCCATGATAAGAACAGGAACTTCAAAGACTTCTGCAGTAGACACTGGTGAAAGAGAAAGTACAATAATAACTGACAGGGCGAAAGACTTAACAGAGACTGAAAGTTCAAAAATTACAACAGCAATTGTTAGTGCAAAAATTGTAACTGGATCCAAGAGTGATAATGTAAGACAAAAAGCAACTAGCATAAAAAATAAACCAGAAGCTGTCACTGCAAAGACAAAACCAGAAGCTGTCACTGCAAAGACAAAACCAGAAGCTGTCACTGCAAAGACAAAACCAGAAGCTGTCACTGCAAAGACAAAACCAGAAGCTGTCACTGCAAAGACAAAACCAGAAGCTGTCACTGCAAAGACAAAACCAGAAGCTGTCAAAGACAAAACCAGAAGCTGTCACTGTAATGGCAAAACCAGAAGCTGTCACTGCAAAGACAAAACCAGAAGCTGTCACTGCAAAACCAGAAGCTGTCACTGCAAAGACAAAACCAGAAGCTGTCTCTGTAAAGACAAAACCAGAAGCTGTCTCTGTAAAGACAAAACCAGAAGCTGTCACTGCAAAGACAAAACCAGAAGCTGTCACTGCAAAGACAAAACCAGAAGCTGTCACTGCAAAGACAAAACCAGAAGCTGTCACTGCAAAGACAAAACCAGAAGCTGTCACTGCAAAGACAAAAACAGAAGCTGTCACTGCAAAGACAAAACCAGAAGCTGTCACTGCAAAGACAAAAACAGAAGCTGTCACTGCAAAGACAAAACCAGAAGCTGTCACTGCAAAGACAAAACCAGAAGCTGTCACTGCAAAGACAAAACCAGAAGCTGTCACTGCAAAGACAAAACCAGAAGCTGTCACTGCAAAGACAAAACCAGAAGCTGTCACTGCAAAGACAAAACCAGAAGCTGTCACTGCAAAGAAAAAGACAAAACCAGAAGCTGTCACTGCAAAGACAAAACCAGAAGCTGTCACTGCAAAAAACCAGAAGCTGTCACTGCAAAGACAAAACCAGAAGCTGTCACTGCAAAGACAAAACCAGAAGCTGTCACTGCAAAGACAAAACCAGAAGCTGTCACTGCAAAGACAAAACCAGAAGCTGTCACTGCAAAGACAAAACCAGAAGCTGTCACTGCAAAGACAAAACCAGAAGCTGTCTCTGTAAAGACAAAACCAGAAGCTGTCACTGTAATGGCAAAACCAGAAGCTGTCACTGCAAAGACAAAACCAGAAGCTGTCACTGTAATGGCAAACCAGAAGCTGTCACCGTAATGGCAAAACCAGCTGTCACTGCAAAGACAAAACAAGAAGCTGTCACTGCAAAGACAAAACCAGAAGCTGTCTCTGTAAAGACAAAACCAGAAGCTGTCACTGTAATGGCAAAACCAGAAGCTGTCACTGCAAAGACAAACCAGAAGCTGTCTCTGTAAAGACAAAACCAGAAGCTGTCACTGTAATGGCAAAACCAGAAGCTGTCACTGCAAAGACAAAACCAGAAGCTGTCACTGTAATGGCAAAACCAGAAGCTGTCACTGCAAAGACAAAACCAGAAGCTGTCTCTGTAAAGACAAAACCAGAAGCTGTCTCTGTAAAGACAAAACCAGAAGCTGTCACTGCAAAGACAAAACCAGAAGCTGTCACTGCAAAGACAAAACCAGAAGCTGTCACTGCAAAGACAAAACCAGAAGCTGTCACTGCAAAGACAAAACCAGAAGCTGTCACTGCAAAGACAAAACCAGAAGCTGTCACTGCAAAGACAAAACCAGAAGCTGTCACTGCAAAGACAAAACCAGAAGCTGTCACTGCAAAGACAAAAACAGGAACTGATCTTTTAGAAACTTTTTGTGAAACTAAGAACTTAATATTTGCAGGAACAAGACTGGAGACCACTCCCTCATTGACACCAGCACCAGAATCTACCAAAAGAAAAGCTAGTGAAGAGTCATCAGTCTCCACAGCTAACCCTGAGAAGAGAAAACGAACCACAGCTAACACTGAGAAGACACAAGGAACTGCAGCTAACAATGGGGAGAGACAAGGAACCACAGCTAACACTGAGAAGACACAAGGAACTGCAGCTAACACTGAGAAGACACAAGGAACCACAGCTACCACTGAGAAGACACAAGGAACCACAGCTAACACTGGGAAGACACAAGGAGCCACAGCTAACACTGGGAAGACACAAGGAACCACAGCTAACACTGAGAAGACACAAGGAACCACAGCTATCACTGAGAAGAGGCAAGGAACCATAGCTAACACTGAGCAGACACAAGGAACCACAGCTATCACTGAGAAGACACTAGGAACCACAGCTAACACTGGGAAGACACAAGGAGCCACAGCTAACACTGGGAAGACACAAGGAACCACAGCTATCACTGAGAAGACACAAGGGACCACAGCTATCACTGAGAAGACACTAGGAACCACAGCTAACACTGAGAAGAGACAAGGAATCACAGCTAACACTGAGAAAACTAAAAGAACCACAGCTAACACTGAGAAGACACAAAAAATCACAGCTAACACTAAGACACAAGGAACCACAGCTAACAATGAGAAGAGACAAGGAACCACAGCTAACACTGAGAAGACACAAGGAACCACAGCTAACACTGAGAAGACACAAAAATCACAGCTAACACTAAGACACAAGGAACCACAGCTAACACTGAGAAGACACAAGGAACCACAGCTAACACTGAGAAGAGACAAGGAACCACAGCTAACACTGAGAAGACACAAGGAACCACAGCTAACACTGAGAAGAGACAAGGAACCACAGCTAACACTGAGAAGACACAAGGAACCACAGCTAACACTGAGAAGAGACAAGGAACCACAGCTAACACTGAGAAGACACAAGGAACCACAGCTAACACTGAGAAGACACAAGGAGCCACAGCTAACACTGAGAAGACACAAGGAACCACAGCTAACACTGAGAAGACACAAGGAACCACAGCTAACACTGAGAAGACACAAGGAACCACAGCTAACACTGAGAAGACACAAGGAACCACAGCTAACACTGAGAAGAGACAAGGAACCACAGCTAACACTGAGAAGACACAAGGAACCACAGCTAACACTGAGAAGAGACAAGGAACCACAGCTAACACTGAGAAGACACAAGGAACCACAGCTAACACTGAGAAGAGACAAGGAACCACAGCTAACACTGAGAAGACACAAGGAACCACAGCTAACACTGAGAAGAGACAAGGAACCACAGCTAACACTGAGAAGACACAAGGAACTACAGCTAACACTGAGAAGAGACAAGGAACCACAGCTAACACTGAGAAGACACAAGGAACCACAGCTAACACTGAGAAGACACAAGGAGCCACAGCTAACACTGAGAAGAGTAAAAGAACCACAGCTATCACTGAGAAGACACAAGGGACCACAGCTAACACTGAGAAGACACAAGGAACCACAGCTAACACAGAGAAGAGTAAAAGAACCACAGCTATCACTGAGAAGACACAAGGAACCACAGCTAACACTGAGAAGACACAAGGGACCACAGCTAACACTGAGAAGACACAAGGAACCACAGCTAACACTGAGAAGAGACAAGGAACCACAGCTAACACTGAGAAGACACAAGGAACCACAGCTAACACTGAGAAGAGACAAGGAACCACAGCTAACACTGAGAAGACACAAGGAACCACAGCTAACACTAGGAAGACACAAGGAACTGCAGCTAACACTGAGAAGACACAAGGAACCACAGCTAACACAGAGAAGAGTAAAAGAACCACAGCTATCACTGAGAAGACACAAGGGACCACAGCTAACACTGAGAAGACACAAGGAACCACAGCTAACACTGAGAAGACACAAGGGACCACAGCTAACACTGAGAAGACACAAGGAACCACAGCTAACACTGAGAAGACACAAGGGACCACAGCTAACACTGAGAAGACACAAGGAACCACAGCTAACACAGAGAAGACTAAACAAACCACAGCTAGCACCGAGACGAGTAAAGGAACCACAGCTAAATATGAGAAGACTAATGGGATCACAGCTAACACTGAGAAGTCTAAAGGAACCACAGCTAACACAGGAAAATCAGTAGTCACTTCAGCTAAAACCGGAGAGTTAGCAGTCACCTCAGATAAGATTGGAAAGCCAGCAGCTACACCAGATAAAACTGAAAAGCCAACAGTCACCACAGGTATTACCAAGAAGACAGCAGTCACCACAGCTAATGCTATAGAAACAGGTGTCACTAGAACTAATACTAGAGATACAGCAAAGCCCTCAATTATAACTAAAAGGACAGAATTCTCAACAGTTAGAAATAAAGAGACAGTAGTCACTACAGAAGACAGTAAAACAAATATGATCCTTTCAGGAAAAACTGTTAACATTATGACGACTACACCATCAAGTGGAGAGTCAGCAGCCAATGTAGGAGGAGGCTACCCCAGCCAAGGAGCAGTCACAGTGGGAGACACCAAGACCACACCAGATGTGGGCTCCTCAGCAGCCAAAATGACTGACTGTGATTCAGTTGCTCAGGTAATGATCTTCCTCTTTTTGTTGAATTAAAGGAATTTTCTCACTTGTAATGATTAAATGAGTTCTTCAATTTCATATAAATATACTGTATTTAGAGTAAAGAAACCAAAGCTAATAGATTAGATTGCACAGTATATGGTATTACATAGAGTGCAACATTTTGTTTGTTATGGGTGTTGCACTGATGTAAAAACTAAACAAAAGTGACACCGTCAACTGAGTACAATGTTCACAGTTTCAGCAGTACAACCATTGTTTAAGTTATAGGGCAATTCTTTTTAATGTTTCACCCTTTGACTGCTACTTATTGTTTCTAAGAATGTCTGTATAATTGAATTAAAATAGCCTTAGAAAAGTTCTGAAAATAATTGAGGTTGTAGCCTGGTCAAAAAGAAATCATTTGGTCCAGTTAGAGTAATTAGGGATGCCGTAGAATATATTTTGGTGGTGATTGCTAAAATAAAAAAAATAAAAAAAATATAAAATAACTATGTATGCCACAATGTTGCCTATTATTTACAGAGAAGTATAAGCTCATAGAAACATTTATAAAAGAGATAGAAATACACTGAGAAGCACTGGGATTTTTTTTTATTTAAATTTTTTATTCTTGATTGCACCTTTTTCACTTTCAGTCTATTTTAGCATTTTAATCACTCGCATACATTACTCGGGCTCTTGCTACTATAGCGACTATTGTGTTCACCAATAATATAAAAAATAACCACATTTACCTCTTTTTATGGTACAAATAGGACACCAAAATGGGCAGGAAGGCAATGCACAAAAGAGGGATGGGTGGGGCCCACAGCTCTTGTTGCCACACTCCACATTATTAATGACATAATTTACCATCCATTGGGTAAATGAAACTTCCTACTGTATGGCACCTATTCTGGTGACGTGTGAAGATGGGTTCCCCACTCAACATTAAGATCCCATTCAAACAATGCTCTGTAAGCTTGGGCTGCCCAGGTAACCTGCAAAAGTCTGTGGATTAAAACAGTCTAAGGGTTAAATGGAAGCCAATTTGGACGGATGATCTCTCCTTTATATCTTTGTTGTTACTTTTATTGTCCAATATTAGTACAGAAGGTAACCAGAGGACCTGTAGATATGTGTATTACGCCTGTAAGGTTGGTGGCCATTGTCTTAGGAAGTTTAATTTTTTTGCTTATGGAGAGGGAGTGGGGAATCCTTAACTGCTAATTAAGGGTCAAGTGAGTTTGTCTGGAAAAAAAAGTGATTCGATAAGTAAAATATCAGCCAACCACCTGGTTGGCTGGTGTATAAAACGAAATTGACTTCTGCATATCTCATTCATTGCTAATTTCTGTTGTTAAAATTTTTGTTAGTGGAGGAAGTTGCTGCTGTGTATTTGTTGTTATAACTTTACTTTCTGGTGAAGTTTAATTTTTGTGTTTTATCAGTATCTCACTCGGTAATGAAAATGATGTTGGAGGGTTAGTGTGTGCATAAAATATTTAAGAATTTAATGTTGTTGACAGAAGGGTATGACGTAGTTCCTAAGTTTTAATGTTAAACTCTTAAGTCATCTAAAGATTTTCAGGTATATCCATCTGGCCTTCCCATTCTCTGCCTTCCTGTACATTGCATCTGTACTTTTTCTTTGTCATAGCACTCTTGAGCACATTGGTTACTCTTTTGTCTTTATTGTTGGCTTACTTGTGCCATCCTGTCTTTGTCTGTTTCCCTTAATGATCCCTGAACTCTTGCTGAGGCAGCCCTGAGCACAAGGTATTGGTTCTGTCACTTCTCTTGTTCTCAAAGTACAGTACTGTACTATTTTTAACTTCATGTATCTTTCATGTGAAATAAGTACAGTACTGTAATCTTAAAGTGTACACTACAAGCATTTGTAGTAAAATGCAATAACAGGTACACCTGAGCCACTACAGGCATGTGTTCTTGAAAAGTGCACCTTATAGTGAACACATATTTACCATGGACCAAATGATATCAATGGGGTTACATTCCTGGAGAAAATTTAGGTAAAAATTGTTTCACTGAAATATTAGTTGAATACCTAAATTGTACTGTGTATTATTTTAAGTTGAGATAAAAATGTAGATATATATAAAATACCAGATATAGTTCAGGCTGGGGTAGGGAGTGTTGTACAGCTCCTTGTAACAGTTACTGTCTGTACAGCTCCTTGTAACTGTTACTGTCTGTACAGCTCCTTGTAACAGTTAATGTAATAATTAATAATTAACGATTTATTAAGATAACATGGCAGCCCGAAGGCTGAAAATATACAATGAACAGAGATGATAAGTCATATTTGGTGGAAGCGGGGAGTGGGTCACTTGATTGACAAAACATAAGAACATAAGAAAATAAGGAGTCTGCAATAGGCTGGTTCGCCTGTGCATGGCAGCTCCTGTCGAGAGTTACTACCACTCTCTATCATCCATGAATTCATCCAGCCTCCTTTTAAAACTCTCCAGCGTTCCAGCACTTACTACAAAGTTGCTAAGCTTGTTCCACTCGTCCACCACCCTATTTGTGAACCAGTTCCTTCCTATCTCCCTCCTAAACCTAAACTTATCCAACACCACCCTATTTGTGAACCAGTTCCTTCCTATCTCCCTCCTAAACCTAAACTTATCCAACTTAAATCTGCTGCTACGAGTCCTATCCTGCTCGGATATTATAAGAACTTTATTTACATCTCCTTTATTGATTCCTTTCACCCACTCAAATACTTCTATCATATCTCCCCGCACTCTTCATCTTTCTAGGGAATGCTTTCAATAAAAAAAAAAGAAACAGAGTCAACATATAGATTAACTACAGATCTGGTAATGTTTGAGCTGGACTTTTAAACATTCTTGTGACCTGCTGTTGGGGCCCACTGTCTGGATAGCCGTTGCATCATACCTGGGTGTTAATCCGCTATCTATACTACAGCTGCAGATGTTTAGCACATCCACCATGTGTTCGGGTAGGTCCTCCAGCTCAAACAGGGTGTTGGAGAAGGTTCTTGTTCCTCATGTGATGAAGTTAGGAATTAATAGTTCCTTACTTGGGTGGAGTAGGGAGTCATCATTTCTCTCCTGATGTAGTTAGGAGTCTTTCTTTGCTTCTCATCCAGTGGTGGTGAGTGTACGGTGGACAGGGTGTGTTTCTGGTCCAGTCAGGTCAACATTGACCGCTAAGCACTGATTGTCGCTCAAACAGTCGTTTCTTTCGAGTTGAAATTGTCACTTTTGTATATCACTTGTGGGTTGATGGTCAATCTTCGCACTGTACTGTTGGTGGGACGATGTTGATAAATCCAGATGGGTAAAGGGAGTGCTTGACAACCAGGTTGGCAGCTGTCTCCATGGTCAAGAGACCACGGGCAGTGCCAACATTCTCGCCCTATGAAGGCTGGACTGTGTGTACAGCTCCTTGTAACAGTTACTCTGTACAGCTCCTTGTAATGGTTACTGTCTGTACAGCTCCTTAGCATGGTGGAGCTGTGCTGTGTATAAAATGAACCAAAAACATCAGTTGCCAATATGTAGTGTATAGATTTGTAATTAAATACTGTATCTTATTATCTACTGAGTTTCTAATGAAAATATTTTGTGAAATACATGCAATCCTTTTCCATTTATTGGGAAAATTCTATTAATGGGAGGACTTCTTTATCCCCCCATTCTTGACCATCAGGATCTTGAATGGATATGAATATTGTTTAAGTACAGTACTGTACTGTATATAAAAATTCAACTTACCTAAATTATTTCCTCTAAACACATTTTAGAAAACATTAATAAAAAATACTAGTACAATACAGTACAGTAGAACCTTGATAAATCAGGCTAATTGGGCAGACCCCAGTCCGTAAAAGGCGAAAGAAAAAAAAAGAAAATTTATTGGGGCGAGGGGTGGATATAACACTGCTTATCTGGGCTGATTAAAGAAAATTGGTTGTTATAATATTATTACAGTAATCCCGTGTTTTTCTTGGGAATTACGTTCCTAAAACCCCTGCGAAAAGCCAAAACCGCGAATACTTTTTTTTTAGGAATCACTGTACCTGTGGCCACCAAATAGCTCAGATAGGTCATGCACTTAACCACGCCATGCTCTCCACTCACGGTCCAGTGGTCACACTGATCACTGATGCACTGTACCGGCATTTACTAACATCATTATTTGAAACTAATCATATTGTAGTATAATAATGAAAAACTTAAACACAGTTATAGACAAAAAAAAATTTATTTACAAGTAAATAAAAAAATCTATGTTTCGCTGAGGTCGGCAACACCCGCATTACCAGCCTCTCTGTGCTGTCCCGGCGTCTGCCGCCCTCACGCAGTCACCCCAGCCAGCCAGTCCTCTTCCACCCACATTCCTCCACTTGAAGACTTGTATTCTGACAAAAGACACAAATGAATTGTCAGTCTTCACCACATCTTGAGCCATAGCTCGTACCACCTCTGAGCTTGTCCAATAAAACTTTTTTTTTCCGTTAAGGTCATCACTATTCTTGATCTCTTGGTCACTTTAGAGTCTTTGCTAGTAATATTTGCCTTTGATGAAGCCGGCTTACGTCCCGGAGCCATGTGGAATGCACGTGGGAGGACAAACAGAAGAGGTAATCACAGTGGCGGTCACAGTATTGTAGGCACCTGTGGACTGGGGCTTCTCGGAGCAGCGGGTGCCTGAGGCGGTAAAGGGTAGTGTCTGTTTGCTGCACCACACAGGAATATCGAAAATGGTGTGAAATTAAAATTTTTGTTTTTAAAGGATATTTTATATTTATAAAAAAATTTAGTAAAAGAAAACGCGATAAAATCCCTGCGAAAAACACAGGATTACTGTACTGTACCTCAACAACTGAGGTCTAAGTTTTTTTTTTTCACCCCAATGAAGATGCCAACCATGGCCCTTTGGGACCTACCAGAGGAGCACTTCTGTCGTTATTAACTAGGGAGCAAGGTTGATGTTAAGGAAGTGATGGCCAGAATGTATTTCCAGGAACATGCAACTGAGCATGATGGCTCGGTGCATCTTTATACAGATGGCTCCAAATCTGATGCTGGTGTTGGGTTTGGAACCATATTCCCTGATTTTAGCTGCAAGGGTGGGGAGGGGGGACTTCCCACCTCTCTGCTATATGCCTAGCCCTTAGAGAACTAGCACCCATAAGACTGGGAGTTCTATTATTTTTTTATTTCAGAGCAGCACTGGCTTCTCTGGAACCTTTCAATCCCATCCACCTTCTACATTTAGATATTTTTAATTGGCTGGTAGTCCTCTGTTGACAAGGCCATGATGTGGATTTCTTTTGTGTTCCCACCCTTGTGTCTGTGCAAAGTAATGAGAGGGCTGATGGGGTGACCAAGTCTGCTGCCTCTCGTCATGCTCATTTGTGCTCCCTCACAGAGATTTCTTCCCTCACCAGTTAGGTCAGCCATCTGTGCCTCTTAGCAGCTATAGTGGGACAATTTATCTGTTTCCAACAAATTGAGAGAGATTACAACAAAGATCTATGCTTGGATGCCCCGCCAGTATGAGATTGTCCTTACCTGTCTACATGTTGGCCACACTCATCTCGCCCACAGTTTCCTTATAGTTGGAGGACCACAGCCCTTTAGTTGTAACTGCCTGGTGCCACTGACTGTGCGATGCTGGTAGTGTGTCCCAATCATGGGGAATTGAGGAGTTGTTTTCTTGCCGAGTGTGGAGGATGGCTCGTTCTCTATCTCAAACATGCGCAGCGGGAGAATTTCAGTACCTGATGGTGGACTTTTTAAATTTTTATATTGAAATGTGTATTTAACCACCTGTGATTTGTAAATGAATATCGATATTTTATTTATTTTTGATATGTAAACTTTATAGGATTTTATTTTATATCATAGTTTTAAATTATGAGTTTCATATTTGGTGTCAAATGGCCACAGGCTGTAATGCCAGATATTTTACCCAATCAATCAATCCATAAATCAGTGTACAGTATGGTCATGCCAGAACTCAAGATTAGTAAAGCCTTCAGTATCCATACTTGGCATATACACTCACTATAATGAGAAGGGGAATGAGTATGCTGATGAAGCCAACAATTAAAAGCTGCCATCTGCTCGAGTTGGCAATGCTGTCGGAGCAAACAAGCTCCATCACACATCCACCCAGCATTTTGTGCCTGGGGATATCAGGAACTGTCCTGCTGCCAGGAGACTACTTTGGCCCACCTCAGTATTGGCCACACACAGCTGACTCATGGTTTTTTAATAGAATGGATGCCCCCTCCCCATTGTGATGACTGCTTGGTCCCATTGACTGTTCAACACTTCCTGGTGGAGTGCTTCAGTCTCAGAGATCTTTGTCATAAGCACTTCTCCTAGGGGGGGGGGTACATCCTCTCCTTGGTGGAGGAAGCTGGCCTTCTACACAAGTTTTGAGTTTTATCTATTAACGTTTAAATGTTTTTTAAGAAAGTTCTATGTTAATTTATTACGTTTAGTCTTTTAAGCCTTTATTGCTGTTGCATTACCAGGGATGTAATTACCAGAATCAGTCAGTCAATCAATAATTCGCTATAACAACCCATAAAACCGCTTTGTTTAAGGAGTTGAAAGGTCAGAGTTACATCCATTCGAACGTGTTTTGCTCCTTTTGGGAAAAGGGCATTGTGATCTTTTAAAACACAGCTGGCTTGTCAACCAGTGTTTCACTTATTTTAAATTATTATTCATTATTTTTGAAGCCATTAATGGCTTAGTGACCCAGATCAAATTGGGAAATTAAACCCATAGTCAATCGAGGTGTTGTGTAGGTATTAGACCACCTTGACTTGCCTCACTCTAGTAACCACACGAATAGGAGACACTGGATATTTTTTATTTATGATTATTTTTTTTTTTGAGGGACCAGATTTTTAATAACAGGTGGAAGAAAATTTTAATTGTGGCCACTAGTGCCCAAATCTGTATGTGAGGGGAAGCTTGAATTACAGGTTTTGATTTTTTTTTTAATTTTCATTGTTTTGAGGGAGATAGAAAAGCTTGTTTCAGATAGAGCTATTGACCTTATTTTTGTTTTAGGAATGCTGTTACAAAGTATGTGAATAAAGTTATTTTATTAGACAAGTTAATTTCAGTAAAACACTTGCATTTCATTTTGCTTAATTTTTCTTTTTCCCCAGAAAGGAGTGTTTCAGCCCAAACAGATTGTTTTAGTTATTGACCAGCAGGACATCTGGCTCCAATGGTACATTTTTCAAAATGTCTCATATATTTACAAAGATGAGATGACCTTTGATGAAGCAGCAAAGTTAATAGTATCCCATGAATCATATGGGAAAGGTACTTTATATGTTATGCTGTGTGGCATAAGCACTGTGCTTGAAAACAAGATTAATGAAGAATGTGCACAGATACTTAATAAATGTATACCTCCTCTGAAACTGCTGGAGCCGGTTTTTAAAAACAGCCATGATTTGTTTTCTCACCTTGTTGCTAGGGCCAGTGCTCTACAAAAACAAGTGAAAGGTCAGAAAATGGGAGATGATGTGATCTTTTCAGGGTTACTGCCACCTAACTTCACATCCATTAACAACCCTAAATTGAAAAAACATTGGCATACACATGGACATACAGTATATTGTGGTTTTAATTTATGTTATAATATTATGAGTAAAGGTGTGTTGCTGTTTAACACCTGGGCAAGGAAAGATTGCACTACTAAAGGCTTCAGTGGGTGGGACATAGAGAAAATATTTGAAAATACAGGTAATGGTTCGAGACGGCCTCAACAGCTATTCACCCACACAACTAAAAATGGTGAGAGAACTTTATCTAATTACTCTCTTAATGCAAGGATTGGTGCTCTTGAATTAGCCTTAAAGAATACTCTTGGAAACTATATTCAGAAAGTGAAAAAAGGGAATAAAATGAGTGTTAATAAGAATGAGAAAAAAGCTGACACAGCGGCACGTGGAACAACTTGCACCTCGGTAAGCACGACATCCCAGCCATTTTCATTTCACAGTTCAGCAGCGACCATGAAAAAGACTTGCAATAAACCTACCAAGAAGAATACATCAGAAGATTGTCCCACAACATGTGCTCCAACAGCAAACAGGAGAGAGAAAATCACTTCAGAAACCTCTTCATTAAAATCATTGATGACTACATCCACTGCTGAAAAAGCCTACATTTCACCATCTGTCTCAATAAATGGAAAAGTTGATTTGCAAGATATGGTTAGTAATTGTCCTCAGCTAGAAGGCTTCTCTAACTCCTGGTGAACTATCCCACCTTCATGCCACTCATTGTCTGTTTGTGTCATGCTGATTCTATACCTTTGTAGATTTCTTTTATAACTTTTCTTCTGTAAATGGTAGTTATAAAGGTGTAAACAGAATGTGTTCATGTACTCAGGGAAAGAACTTGGGATAGATGAGAGTTCACAAGGATGCATGTACCTTGTGTATGTACTGGGAAACAATTCTCCCAAACTTGTATTTTCTGGCTTGGAAGATGCATCCCTAACTTAGCAATTAATATCTGAATAAGAAAAATATTTGAAGCAGCCAACAATTTTGTAATATCAGTTTAATTTTTCAGTACAATATTCAGTTGAGTATCGCAAATATTTTAAAAGCACAGTGGTCCCTTGGTTAACGAATGGTTAAATTAATGAAATTTTGGTTAACGAATTAGCTCCCATAAGGATTTTCATTTCGATTAACGAAATCCTACGACAAACACGTTTTGTTGTGCGCATCAGCTGAGCGGCTAGTCTGCCAATACAGTAATTGGTTCTGTGTGTACATTTGTTTCCAGTGAAGTAAAGACAGTCTCTCCTCGACTTATGACATATTCGACTTAGGATGACCCAGTCTCTCCTCGACTTATGACATATTCGACTTAGGATGACCCAGTCTCTCCTCGACTTAGGATGACCCGGACATACGACGGCCATGGTCGTATAAAATATTTTTCATATTACGTATTTTCGAGTCCCGGTGTTAGTGATCTTGCTGTGTACTGACAAAATTTTCGTTTGTAATTCCCTTTAAAATGGTTGGCAAGCGTAAAAGTGAGAGTTCTCGTGGTGCTGAGAAGAACAAGAGACACCCATTTTAGAATTTCTATGTATTATTTTCGCCTTTTCGACTTACGACCAATTCGACTTATGACCTGGTCGACGGGACAGAACCCTGTCGTAAGTCGAGGAGAGACTGTATCAAGAAAGTGGTCTTTTGAATATTTCTGCATTTTTTATATTAAAATTATTGGTCATTCTGAAATTTAGTTAACATATTGATAATATAAACAGTACAGGGAACAGTTTTTGTGTGCCCATCAGCTGACTGAATCACCCAACTTCTCAGTTTAACTTTGTTTACAGTTGAGTGAACATCGATTTTGTTGGTCTCTTGAATATTTTTGCATTTTTACATTAAAATTATTGGGCATTCTGAAATTTAGTTAACATATTGATATTATACAGTGCAGAAATTATTATGAAACATGAAGAAGGCATTAGAACCAATGCACTCGGTAAAGAATATGGCATGTCATCATCGACTGCCTCTACAATCAGCTGTTTGATATGTAAACAAAGCTGCCGGGAATATGACATACACGCCTCAAATTAAGTTAAAATACAGTATTCTATTGTTTTTTATTTATTATTGTACAGTACTGTATTTAGTTTATATTTAATGTTTTGTTAATTGTATTACTGGTATACAGTACAGTACCTTGTATGTACTTTTTCTGTGAGTTGGAACCAATTACCCAATATTCCATTGAAATAATAGATTCGGTTAACGAACGACTATGTGAAACTGGCTGAAGTAATTATCATATTGTAAATATATTTATGCGATATGATATGCCAGGATGTTGACTGAAGACTCACTCAGTTTGCCAGATGCCTTGCCTGAGCATGACTGAGCTCCTGACATTCCCATTTTTTTTTCCAGTACTGATACACAGTACGTATTAGGATTTATTGCAATATCTTGTGCTGTTATCACATATAAGATCACAAAATCAAATAAAAATTTATATGGGGGGTGCAGGAACCTGAACTTGTGATCCAGCTTCTTTGAAGTGAAGCTGATAGGAATTTTGTGGTGAGTAGAGGTACGTTGCTCCGTCGCTTGATGTGGGTTTGTTCAACGTGGATTCGCTCTAATGTTTTTTTAATCGTTACCGGGTATCGCTTAACTAGGGAAAATTTGGCCAAAAGTGGTCAGGTAGAAAATATTTTGCATGGAAATCTGGGACTTTGTTACTGATGATATGTTGTACAAATACAGTTTTTGCATGTACAGTATACTAAAAAAAATTTTAGGCAATTTTTTATTTAATTTTTACCTAAACTTTGTAATAAAAAAATTCATGAATTACAGGTTGGTTACTGGGGGGTTAGTATATCATCAGACAGCAGCACTTCATAGTGCTAGCTAGAGTTGATATGTTAAACCAGTCACCCTTTTTCCTCATCACACCCATTATCCCAAAATTAGATCATGTTTAACAGGTATCCAGTGTCCTGTAAAGATAAGAGGCCTCTTTAGAGGAGTATCCGAACATTCAGTTCACTTCATTCCAGCTTTTGTTCCCAGCCAGTCCTATCTCCTCCTCTACTGATTAATTTTTGAAAGTTTTGTCTCCATATTTATCTTATTTTTGTTACTGCCTCATCCATCTCTTGTGTTCTCCATACTTCTCTCTTTCATGCTGCTGTGTCATTTATCTTTGTTCCACCATACATCATCCCTTCTCTTATATCTAACTAATATATCTCTACACATCTGATATTTTGGGGAGCATTGCCCTGGGGTCAATTACACCCATGTTATAAGATGCTTTTTTTGTTTGCATAATTCTCATTTTTCCCTCATGGTCAGTCCTTAAGGTGTATGAGTGGAGAGGATCAATTGTGTGTGTCTTCTTTTATTGCTTTATCAAACTGTTTCTGGATTTATTCTTGTTTCACCCTTAAACAGCAATCATAATCAGTGACAGTTGACTTAGGGATGGCGGCCATCATCAGTGGATGTTTTGTATTCCTTGTGTTCCATTTTTTGTGTAAATACAGAGCAAATAGGGTATCCTAGCCTCCAGTTAATGGTTAATCTCTGCTTCCTTCTCAGCTTTTCATACTTTAACCCCATCTCCTCTGTCCTCTTTTCTATTGGTTTGTAATCGTATCCTGGTCTGTAATATTCTCAGGTCGTGGTCTGATTCTACTTACACCCCCCCCCATTTTCCTACAGCATTTGTCTAACTCTGTTTTTTCCTTTTTGTGTTATTATCACAAACTTCCCCTTTGAGGTTCATGCACAATTTGTACTTTTTTATTTGACCTTTAACTTGAAGTTGTTTTCTAGAATATTTCAGGAATCAGAATTTAGTGTCCAGTCAACTCACATTGGCCAAATATTCAAATTTTTTTATTTTGGAAACACTGAGTTTATCTAGTTTGACATCTTGGTAATTCTGCATTGGATATTTACATACATTTTGATTTACTTTTGTTTTCATTTAACAAAGATGGGTCAATAGATTTTCTTAATTTTCATGGTGCTTGATTGTACAAATTAGTAATTACATTGTTGATTGGTTTATAGTTTTCAAGTTGTTGCCATAATTGGGGGTACTGTACTGTACAAAATGAACAAATAGTAGTTAATAAATTCGCTTTGTGTTCTATTGCGCTGGGAAAAGTTTTATCTTAAAATTCAATTCGAAGTTTATTGATACACAGTCAACCAGATGTGAAGTAGTGATTTGTTAGTTCTATTTAGGTTGGTTGATGCTCTCGTCACTCTCCAGCCATAGAAGAGCCTCTCAGTCTGTTCTTTAGTTGTATACAATATTGTAGCAGTTGTGTTGAAATTTGTGTTCGCAGTTTTTGTTCCACCATAAGTTACCTTCAGAAATTTTTGACGATATATTTACTAGGAGAATAAATATTGAGGTGTTTAGTTTTCATACCCATCCTTAGTGAACCACCAACATGCATATTTCAAATTCTTTATTCATATACTGTATATTTGTTTGTTAAAAAACTTTACTAACTAATGCTTCACTTTTAAAAGGTGTTGCCTTGCTGTTATTATTTATAACATTAGTTTTATAAGTTTTATATCTGAAAATTTTCTCAATTTTATTTCTTTTTGTGAAGATTTCCTCATAATATTTTATCCATTATTTGTTGTCGTTCATGATGATGATTGTTTGCTGCACTTTAAATTATATAATATATTTTCTTACTCTACCTTTTTTTTTTCTCAGGACCAAGATTTCCGGCCACAAAAAGTTTTTCTTGTGGTTGATGACCAAGACTCCAATTTACAGTCATTTCAATTTAAAAATGTGTTGGCCATTTATGATCCCAGAATGAGCTATTGGAATGCATTTGATTATATGCATCATCAGTTCAGTACTGGTGAAGAAAGTGTTCTGTTCATAATGCTTTGTGGCATAAACTCTGTGCTAAGTGAGATAACAGAACTAGAGTGTCAGGTATTGAACTGCTCATGTAACCTTAAAAGAGTGTGCCTGAGTAAAATTACTTCTGCTGATGTTTGCGACCACCTTATCTGGTCAGCCAAATATTTAAGAAGACAAGTGACGAATAAATCAAGGAACAGTAATGTGATTTTCTCAGGATTGTTGCCAGTAAATTTCGAAAGTATTCATAAGTATGATGGAGATTATCACAAACAAACTACAGGACATAGTGTAAAAAATATGGAAAGACCAGTATATGAGAAACAGTATGGCACTTTATGTTCTGCTGTTGGACAGTTTAATAAGTGGGCCCAGAGAGATGCTGAAAGCTTAGGCTTTCCATATTGGAACATAGAAAAGATCTTCACAACACAGACGTTGGGCACCGGAGAATACTTCATCCATGACACCGAGGCAGATGGTAGGACTCTAACTTACCCTTGCCAACAGGAGAGGAAAGTAGCTCTCATGTCTGCTGTTAGGAAAACTCTTGTGCAGCTTGACAGTGCACCAACAACAACACCAGAGACACCAGTTGAAGATTGTCAAGAAAAGGTAAATTATTTGATACTCTGATGGTCTTTTGATCAGTATGTATTCATCTTTGGTTGTCAGTATCATGGAATAGTTAGGGTTTGTCTGTTATCCTGAAGTTGTTTGTTTTCTTCTGGTACATTGGCTTTACAGAACTGCCTAATGTTCTCTTCACATTGTTAGTTTGCTTCATCTTTACATTTCTATACTTTTTTAATCCATTATTGCAATTTGTGTCCTAAGAGCAACACAGACTCTGCCCTCCTCTGCAGTCATTCATTCTCTATAACTGATGTCAAAATATGTCTGGAAAATGATTTATTGACATTTGGGAATCTTTTAATTGTTTCACTTATTTCAGGTGCTATATTAAATCACAGTGGATATTATATGTATCTTTATATGCAATGTATACCTTAAGAACTGGAGTTGAGCAGATTATGCATATTTTATACCACAATTCAATGGGTTACAGATTAGTGATGTACAAATTGAAGGTCCATAAATTGGGCAGGATCTACTTTATTTAGGAATGAGGCAATGTAAAAATAGTACAGTGGAGAAGAATAAAGGAAGAGAATAGACCATGGGAGGTGGGTGATTGTTGAGTTGAGAAGCACCACTAAGGTGAGCAATGTATAACTTGGCAAGGAAGAAGGACTGAGGGATCTTATAAGATATCCTCCCCTGACGTAAAATATCAGTTAACAGTGGGTTTGGGATAAGGTTGAATTATCTGCTATTGAAGATACAGAAGCGAGGAACCTGAGAGTTAAATAAAGAATTATAAGATATAAGAAATGTACAGGGTCATTATTTTTATCAGAGAACCATACAATAAACAGGAAGCCAAAAATCAGTAGGAGTAAAGTCTGATTCCTACTTATTTTTAGCTTCTGTTTGCTGCACGTCATAAAACACGGTAATTATTTAGGGTACATGCGGCCTACTTACACACATTTTTATTTTTAATTAATTAGAGAATAATTATTGTGAATATAAAAGCTGGATTTATAACGACGTACTGTATTGATGATGATAACCCTAGACGATTAACATCCATATGGCAGACACCCAGCTCATCAGAGCTGAGCAGTAACCATTTCTGTACTCTTACAAGCATTACTATATATTAATATTATATCTGCAACATTTATTTTTAAATCTACAAATACCTGATATAAATGAAGATTTACAGATACAGTAACTTTCTTTTCACATTTGCATCTGTTAACATCACTGGCGGCATTGTAGCCACATTAGACTCGTCACTGTAACCACTAGGCTACTGGGCTAAGCTGTGAGGTGTTATGGATATTATAAAAAAAAATGAGTGGAGTGAGTGAATTCTTTGGAGTATGGTTTATGGTTGAGTCCCCCTCCCCCTTTCCTCCCCCTCCTTTCCTCCCCCCTTCCCTCTCCTTTCCTCCCCCTCCCCTTTCCTCCCCCCTCCCCTTTCCTCCTCCCTCCCCTTTCCTCCCCCCTCCCTCTCCCCTTTCCTCCCTCCCCCTTTCCTCCCCCCCTCCCTCTTTCTCCATTTAGGTGAGTGAGCCTTTTTAAATAACTTCAGATGGTGTCTGTAGTGTGTGCCAAAGTTTGCTGAGTGTAGAGTGTGCTGAGCTAGTTTGTTGTATAGTCATTAGCATTTATTGGCAGTGATGTTGGAGAAAGTTATGAATGGGTCATCTGTAAGATACTGTATAGGTAAACTGTATTCTTTCACTGTAGAGAATTGTGTAGGAAGTTATTCAGTTATTCTGAATAATGGTACAGTTTGTTCTCTTGCATAGTAAATGATGTTAGACATTTTATCCCATCTGTTTACTAAGCTGAAGTAATATTTGTTTACAGGTTATTTTAAAAAAATTGCAAGAAGGATGCGAACAGCAGACTTCAATAAAAAGGTTAGTGCTTTGAATAGATGTCTATTAAATTAACCCTTAAATGTCTGACTAATCTTGGGAAGTCACCCTTCAGAAACTGAATAGTAGGCTAAAAAATGAAAATCATAAAATTAATGTTCTAATCTTTTGAATTGTTAGACATACATGTTAGTCAATAGGAAATAACATAATTATTACTGTACTCGCCAACCTATGGTTATTGGCGAGTCGAAGTCGGCGAGACGTCGTACCTCAGCACCCCTCGAGCAGTTATTGCACATCTGGGAGTGAATGGTGGTGCACTGCCAACTGACTCCATGTTCTTACAACCTCACAACACCTGCACATGGTTACTTATTATTACACTATATACAGTAGTACATTCACCAATCTGTGGCTTGGAGTGGCAGGGCTTGGGAGCTGAAGTTCTTAGTGGGTAATCCAGAGAGGAAGATGCACTATCTTCCACCATAGTGACAATTGTTATACTAATACTGATTATTTGCTTAAGATGCGGTTAAGGAGAAGTGTGGGTGAGCAGGGATGAGCTATTGCCACAATAATAGTCACGCGGGAAAATAAACAAAATTAAGTGCCGGTTTGGCGCCATTAGACCCCTACTATGTCGGGCACTTTGGGACGACGTCAGACCTTTAAGGGTTAACATAAAGTTTTGAATGTGAATTGTTTTGACATGGTAGCATGATTTTGTGAGGAGTTAAATGTTAAAGAATACTGTAGGAAGTTACAGAATTTCATATGTAATGACGAATGAATCCCAAACTCTTTTTATACTGTATAGTTTTACATTGTATATTGTGCTAAGGGGAGTTTTGTGTTGCAGAGTGAGATGCAGTACAAGTACTAGTTTAAACCCTTGTTGTGCATTTGAGTTTTGTGCAGAACACAATTGTAATCTTTATTTCTGTACTGAAGGGCAGGTTTATGTATGGTTGTACAGCGGTATTTAAGTGTAATTTGTCATGAGTAAATGGAGAAATAGCATAGGACCAGGTAGAAATGGATTTATTCTCTGCATCTGGTTACTGTATTAAGGTACTGTGCAGTACAGACCTCTGAGCAGGGGATAATGTGTTCAGGATGTGTGTCTTTGTTTTATATGTTGTAGTTCTTATAGGAAATAGAAATTTAAGGGTATTATATTAATGTATTGAATATAGTTTCCATTAAAAAGTGAAGTGGTAAACATAATAGTACAGGTGTAAAAATATTAGTTTTCGTGTTGAACTTGCATGACTAGGATATCATGGCATACTCATTAACACTAATCTAGCATCCACATTCTGTGAGAATAGGACTTTCTTATGATATGGCTATTCCCATCAAAGCAGAGAGGTCACTAATGCTTGATAGTTTTCTCTTTGGGGTACTGTACTGTACAGTAAATGATTGAAAAATGTGTCGGTCTCAATCACTCATACTTCTCCTTAGTCAATCTAGTCACTTCCAGTCCCTAACACCAGGTGACTTAAGTACAGTTATTTTTTTTATTCAAGAAGCCTAAATTATTATATTTTAGGATATGTACAATAAACAGAAACCTAATACAGTGGTCCCTCGGTTAACGATCGCCTCGGTTAACAAGATTTCGGTTAATGATTTACCTTCCATAAGATTCTTAACTTCGGTTAACGAGCAATCCCTCGATTAACAAGTTTTTTACGAGCCGACTTCAACATGTTTTCGCTTGCATTTGGCGGTCCACCAGCTGTAGTATTAGTCCGCCAATACAGTAATCGGTTTTAGTGCTTAAATTCCTTACTATTTTAGTAAATATCAAGAAGTTTATACTATTCAATAATTTTAAAAGTTTAATATTTACTTTTTTAGTCATTTTAACAATTATTGAACATAATTGAAGGTAAAGAAACTAGTTTCTGGTGTGCCATCGAGCCTGTTAACACACCAGACAGGCGTTAGTCTCTCTCTGTTTTCACTGGAGGTAACATCTTGCTTGAGACTCTCTTCAACTAAACGCTTTTTTTCTGTGTTTCCAAGCAAATTATTGGTCATTTTGAAATATATTTTACATATTGACAATATATAATGCAGTGCAGTGTTGATTTAAAGAAAATAATCTTGAATTACACCAAGAGAGCTAAAATTATGGGTGAAATGACGCCATGGGGTGACTTCTCTTCCACCCCAATGCCTTCTCTTCTCCCTTCTTCTCCACCCCCATTCTAATTCCCATCATCATCATCATCATCATCCAGGAGCCTTCTACATACACACCTCAAAGTAAGTGTACTTTTCTACCTTTTTTGTTGAATTTAGGCAATTTTCGGTGAGCTGGAACCAATTACCCAAAAACCCATTGAAACAATGGTTTCGGTTAACGAGTTTTTCGGTTAACGAGCAACCTGCTGGAATGGATTGTGCTCGTTAACCGAGGGACCACTGTAATCAGTTGGAAGAGCCTGATCAACTGATTTTTAGGTTCCTGTTTATTGTATATCCTTAACTAGTAATCATTTAGGGTTCTTAAATAGAAAAATGACCCCATATAGCTAAAAGGTTTGTGTTTTATGAGGCGAGTGTGTGAACTGTATCATATGGGACATCAAATGAAATATTGTATTACATTTTATTGTATCTGAAATATAAATTTGTTTCCAGATCTAGTGATGAGCGACACTTTAACACTGTTGTCATCCTTGCCAACAATTTGTACAAGAACGTACTGGAGAAATTGAGTTCCCATCGGGTAAGTAGAGGTCTCGAACTTATAAGCTAACCATCCCATTGTCATGAAGCCTTCCTTCCTCATGCATTTAGGAAATTGTTCAGGAAATATAATTTTGCTTTGGCAAGTTTTCAGTAATATTTGAGTTCATCTTCTGTCAGCACTGTAAGTAAAACTAGGAATATATTTTGGTAATTACATTCTCTCAGACTTGGGAACACCAGCCCTTCCTGCCTCATGTGTTTAAGATATTTTTACAGTTAACATCATTTTTCTTATGTTCAGTAGTCCACCTCTAGGGTTAGGTTACTGAAAAACACCATGGTTGGCAACACTAAAGGCTTATGGGAAATAAAGGGTTAGGTTCCTTGGCCATAGATAACTCCTATCAAAGCCTAACTAAGTTGTCTGTTCCTCCACTGAACAATTCCTGTCCATGTTTTGTACATTTAATTAAATATGAGTCAAATGCATATACTGGTAAATTAGCGTAATATAAATTAAATACAGTGCAGTAGTAATTTAAATTTTACAGTACAGTACATCTCTGTAGAGATGGCATGTTCCTGTAAAATAAGAAAAATGGAGAGCATGGGTGTGTGTATGAAGTGAACTTGTGTGTGGGCTTGACATATAACCAAGTTAGACTGTCCCTGTAGGTACATCCCCCTACCAGGCCAAGCTGTGTTATTGTTAATTTTCATATCGTATTTTTGGATAGATATACATATTGTTTTTCTCTATTACTTGCACACACAATCGTTCATACAGAGTGTGTAAAAAAAGGGGGGGGGGATTTCATAAAGTCAAAAACATAAAGAGAACAAACATTTCATATGTCTGTGATAGTTGATGCAGGGAGAGTGCGGCGCTGGGGATCTCAGTCTCCTCTACTAGGCCAAGCTGTGAGCTGTTATTGTTATTATTAAACTCTAATTTTTGGGTGTAGACATACGTAATTTTATTTTATTATTTTTTTTACTCCTATTTGTACACACAATCATTCATACAGAATATGTAAAAATTTTAAATAAAATAAATGATTATCATAAAGTAAAAAACAACATGAATAAACATTTCTTAAGTCTGTGGGAGTTAGCCCATGATTGTGGGATGGGATTAACCATTTCATTATGGCATTGCCACATATATTTTTTACAGTATTTGGCTTATTCCAGACAAATTTATTCAGCGCTGAGAGATTGCCATACACAAGGGTTTAAGATTAGAAGTTTGGGGTAATGATAAATGTGATGATTATTAACAGATTCATGAAAGTTTAGTTCACTTTGCATTTTGATATTGATTGAATTAATTGAATTTTTCTCATTTATTTTTCTTATTACAGGTAATAGTGATAGTGGAAAGAGACTTAAAATTTTCAAGCATTCCCGAAGTAGTGCGACAGAATTGTAATGACAGAACCAGAAATGCATTGTGGCTGTTGCCTACGGGCATCTATAGTCATGTTAAGTTTAACCAAAATTCTGGTTGTGGCTCTTATGGGTGCCACGTTCCTTTGACGAGAGTTTCATATGATGGTACCCTACCCACGAGAGAAGAATGTAAAGTACGAACAAGTGACTTTTTATCTCACTCAAAAGATCTCCAGGAGTCTGTAAAGAAAGAGTTGGGTCCCAAGAGTGTGGTCCTCTTCCTGCCACTATTACCAGCAGTAATTGTCCAAGATGATAAATGGCCAAATCATAAATCTTTGCATGAAGCTGTTGGTACAATCTGTCCCTTTATTGCCACCCAATTTTCCTTATCCATCTTGGATATTGTTTACAATGATTTATGTAATGCTTGGTCTAGTGTGGTAATTGAACCTGCATTTAATGACCTTTCTGCTGTGATGTTTGACTACATAAATACGAAACAAAATAAAAATTTATTAAAAGTGACTGATTGTAAGATGTATTCAGATGCATTTAAGGACTGGAGAAATATGTGCAAAGAAATATTTAAACTGGCTCTCTTTGATACTCCAAAGGAATTCAGTAGTAGTAGTAATTCTCAAAGTGTGAGTAATGCAACCTCCCCACTTAATAATCTGCCATTTAACATGGTTAAAACACCTGACCAGGGAAATGTACAAGTTTTGAATCTTCCTGATGAGGCCGTCTCATACACCACACACCCAATATCTGGAACTTCCAAACAAGAAATTAGTGCATCTTCATCATCGTCACAAAGTAAACATCAAACTGAAACCTTGCCTCTCTTCCAGCAGATTGTTGTCTTCTGTAAGAAATATATCCCAGTTAATCTGATAGAATTAAGTAAACATTTGCCAGTACATTTTGTATATGAAAACATCACCTTTGATGAAGTTGGCCAGGCCACCCTTCTTCGCTATCAGAAAAAATGGTCATATCATACCCTCTGGTTTGTCATATCAGATGTCCTTCAGGTGGCCACATCTGTTGAAGTAGTTCCAAAATGTGACATGGTTAACTGTCCAAATCCATTAAAAGGCTTTAATCTCAATTGTGGACAGATTTATCAATATGGTCCTGTAAACTCCAACATTAAAATCATTGTTGATAATGTAATTTCTAAAGTAGAGAAATTTGCTTATTCTGTAACAGAAGAATTAGAGGAAGGGTCAGCCATTTTCTTCGCTCCTCTCTCTCCTGCAACAATGTTTTGGGGAGATTCATCATCAACAGTAACCCATGACTACCTTCATAAGGTTGGTGATGCTGGTCTTAATTTCCCAATAGTATCAGGCAGACAGAAAGATTGGGAAGATTGTAGTGACCACTTAAGACATGAGTGGACTACTTGGGTCATCAACAACATGCAAAATTATACTGAACCACTACAGTTACTGACTACTTACCTTGAATGCAAAAGCAAAATATTGTTCTTCAATCATGTTGAAACCAAGACTTATGATAATACAATATTTGACCAAGGTGCATGGAACAGAGTCGTTAAGGGCCTGCTGTTATATTTCACAACGAGAGGATTCAAAGAACAAGATGATGAAACATCATTGTGCAAAGTTGCCTCATGCCAGATTGTTGCAGGCAAGTGTGATATTTTTGTATTACTGTCATGCAAGTACTTCCCATTATTTCTGTAAATTTTTATACCATTATGTAAATATATAATGATAGTTTGTGTCTGTAGTATTCATGTTATATATTTTCACTGCTCAGGTAGCTACATAAAATATTTTTACACTTTTCACACTAGGAATGTGGGCAGGCAACCCCATCTTCTTAAATACGTTCAAGAGGTTTGAAGGTGTTTTTATAATATGAGAATAATATGTAATGAAGATTTAAAGTACAGGTATTAAACTGAGATGAGTAACTGTAGAGCTCCAGCAGGCTGACTGTCTGCTCCTCATTGGCAGCTTTTCCATGTACGGTATTCTTTAATATGGTCATTGGCTGTACAGTTAATAGAGATATTTGTTCAGGAATCAAATTCTTAATTTTCTTCACACTTTTTTTATGTAAGTTATGGCAGGGTTATCATTATGGCAAGATTTGGAAGAGTTATTGTCCAGTGGACAGTTTTCTGTTAAATTTTAAGATTTGTAGATTGCCCTTTTTCTCCTCCTATAGTCATAATATTCCCAAGAAAGGAAAATTTTCCTGAGCCTTTCAATATGGCATGAGTCCTATAGTCATAATATTCCCAAGAAAGGAAAATTTTCCTGAGCCTTTCAATATGGCATGAGTCTGAAACATCATGTGCTTATTTCTCAGTAGAGTTGGTCTAAATTGTCATTGAAGTCTTCCATAATTAAGCTAAGTTTGATTCACCTAGAGTCCTACACCCAGGTCATTGTTGGGGGAAGGAGAGAAATTCTATCCAACACATAATCTGGAAATGACAGAACACCTCTCTTATAAGTCCATCAGTCAAAGTTTTAAGCAATAAAACATCCAGGAGATTAGTCTTCTTGAATGATAAAATGAATGCATGTGACAGCTGTTCAGCATTTACTAAAAAACACCTTCAGGAGTGATGAGATTTCTTGAATTTTAAAAAGTTAAATTAAAGGTCTTATAAATTGAATATTGAATATTATGCATCACAGTTCCTAAGAGATGTAATTGTGGTGCAAGTGACATACAACGTTGAACTTATATGAAAAAGAACTAATTGAATACAACCAACCATATTACGGTATATGTAAAGATTGGTTAACTCTTCGTATGCTAGGCAGGAAAAACCAAACTGAGTTTGTTCACTGACATGAGGTAGCAGCTCAAGCTTATTGGATACTGTACAGCTTCTGGATGCTACATTGGTTCACAAGATAAACTTGCATAGTTTTTGTGACTTATGGTATTCTTTTTAATGTTATTCTGAGGAAAGAGCAGCTCATGATCTTCACCAAGGTGAATCTTATATATAGGAGTCTTACCTTGCTGAGCTTTTGTAAATTGTAATGACAGAGCAATTCATAGCCAGCTTGACTTTGACCAAAATTTTCAAGAAAAGGGCTAAGCAAATGATATACAATGGGTACCATTATTTCTATAGTTTGGAGGATAAGTCATTCCCATGGTTTTATACTTTCAGAAAGTCAGTAAAGATTTTGCTACCCCTGTGACCTTTTTGAAATAAATATTTCTCAAATCAGTACTGAAGTGAAGAACTTGGGTCTTGTACAAAATTCTTTGTTGCGAACCTGAATGAGGAGTTCTCACAATAGGGTTTTGGCTTGGGAAAGTCCCCGGGGTTAGTCTCCCCTGCCCTAATAGGTGTAAGTTTCTTTGCTGGAGATGTTACAGATAGGATTGCCTAACATTTGATTTCTTTTATCCCATTCTTTGCTGGGTAGGTTACCGGTAGGTCACTTATTGATATCCAGTAGATCATAAATACAGAATTGAAATATGAAATTTCATTTTATAGTAGAGGTGATAGGAAGAGTACCCTGTACCTGCTTTTTCTATAGTATGATTCTGAATCTCCTATAACCTTAGCTTAGGGTGCCTGAGGCCTTACTGGCTTGAAGCAACCACAAAACTAGGAGTTAGGTGCAATTATCCACAATTGGTTTTACTTGAAAAGGAACTAATATGCAGCATCTTTTCATTATTCATGAAGATAGTAGAGGCTGCTTCTAAAACATTTCAAGAATTTCCTAGGCGAGACAGTCTTAGGAAGGGGAGTCCTTGTTGAGGTATTTTGTCGGTCACTTGCCTCTTTTCCCTGGCTGTAAATTCGGACTTCATACTTAGTCCTCCAGTTTTACATATAAATTGTTTTTACAGATGCAACATCAGGAGATTTATCAGCCTTAACAGCAAACACTGATGGACAGCAGAATAAGACTTTAAAAGAAGTACAAACTATACCTATGCAGGTTGAACAGTCAAGCAATGAGTACATTAAAGGATCCTCCAGCAGATCTTTAAAAGACTCAGATGTTCAGCAGTCAGTATTAGTTGATGTGAGACAGTCAGAAGACCCACCTGCTGAGTGTCCACCAATGGTTAGTGACAAGAGGCAAGTAGAACCCACTAAGGAACACACAGCAAAGTCGACAGACCAACTTCTGAAAGGTTCTTCTGCCAAGCTGTCAAAAGAAACTCCTACCAAGCTGTCGAAAGAAACTCCTACCAAGCTGTCAAAAGAAACTCCTGCCAAGCTGTCAAAAGACACTTCTGCCAAGCTATCAAAAGATGCTCTTGTTAAGCTGTCAAAAGAGACTCCTGTCAAGCTGTCAAAAGAGACTCCTGTCAAGCTGTCTAAAGAGACTCCTGTCAAGCTGTCAAAAGAGACTCCTGTCACACTGTTAAAAGAGACTCCTGACAAGCTGCCAAAAGAGACTTCTGCCAAGCTGTCAGAAGAGACTCCTGACAAGCTGTCAAAGGACACTCTTGCCAAGCTGTCAAAACACACTCCTGCCAAGCTGCCAAAAGACACTTGTGCCAAGCTGTCAGAAGAGACTCCTGACAAGCTGCCAAAAGACACGTCTGCCAAGCTGTCAAAAGACGCTTCTACCAAGCTGTCAAAAGACACGTCTGCCAAGCTGTCAAAAGACACTTCTGCCAAGCTGTCAGAAGAGACTTCTGCCAAGCTGTCAAAAGACACTTCTGCCAAGCTGTCAAAAGACACTTCTGCCAAGCTGTCAAAAGACACTTCTGCCAAGCTGTCAGAAGAGACTCCTGACAAGCTGTCAAAAGACACTTCTGCCAAGCTGTCAAAAGACACTTCTGCCAAGCTGTCAAAAGAGACTTCTGCCAAGCTGTCAGAAGAGGCTCCTGACAAGCTGTCAAAAGACACTTCTACCAAGCTGTCAAAAGACACTTCTGCCAAGCTGTCAGAAGAGGCTCCTGACAAGCTGTCAAAAGACACTTCTACCAAGCTGTCAAAAGACACTTCTGCCAAGCTGTCAAAAGACACTCTTGCCAAGCTGTCAAAAGACACTCCTGCCAAGCTGTCAAAAGACACAAGCTGCCAAAAGACACTTCTGACAAGCTGTCAAAAGAGACTTCTGCCAAGCTGTCAGAAGAGACTCCTGACAAGCTGTCAAAGGACACTCTTGCCAAGCGGTCAAAAGACACTTCTGCCAAGTTGTCAAAAGACACGTCTGCCAAGCTGTCAAAAGACGCTTCTACCAAGCTGTCAAAAGACACGTCTGCCAAGCTGTCAAAAGACGCTTCTACCAAGCTGTCAAAAGACACGTTTGCCAAGCTGTCAGAAGAGACTCCTGACAAGCTGCCAAAAGACACTTCTGCCAAGCTGTCAAAAGACACATCTGCCAAGCTGTCAAAAGACGCTTCTACCAAGCTGTCAAAAGACACGTCTGCCAAGCTGTCAAAAGACGCTTCTACCAAGCTGTCAAAAGACACGTCTGCCAAGCTGTCAAAAGACACTTCTGCCAAGCTGTCAAAAGAGACTTTTGCCAAGCTGTCAGAAGAGACTTCTGCCAGGCTGTCAAAAGACACTTCTGCCAAGCTGTCAAAAGACACTTCTGCCAAACTGTCAAAAAACACTTCTGCCAAGCTGCCAAAAGACACTTCTGCCAAGCTGTCAAAAGACACTCTTGCCAAGCTGTCAAAAGACACATCTGCCAAGCTGTCAAAAGACACTTCTGCCAAGCTGTCAAAAGACACTCTTGCCAAGCTGTCAAAAGACACTTGTGCCAAGATGTCAAAAGACACTTGTGCCAAGCTGTCAAAAGACACTTCTGCCAAGCTGTCAAAAGACACAACTGCCAAGCTGTCAGAAGAGACTCCTGACAAGATGTCAAAAGACACTTCTGCCAAGCTGTCAAAAGACACTTCTGCCAATCTGTCAAAAGACACAACTACCAAGCTGTCAGAAGAGACTCCTGACAAGATGTCAAAAGACACTTCTGCCATGCTGTCAAAAAACACTTCTGCCAAGCTGTCAGAAGAGACTCCTGACAAGATGTCAAAAGACACTTCTGCCAAGCTGTCAAAAGACACTTCTGCCAAGCTGTCAAAAGACACATCTGCCAAGCTGTCAAAAGACACATCTGCCAAGCTGTCAAAAGACACATCTGCCAAGCTGTCAAAAGACACATCTACCAAGCTGTCAAAAAACACTTCTGTCAAGCTGTCAATAGAGACTTCTTCCAAGCTGTCAAAAGACACTTCTGCCAATCTGTCAAAAGACACTACTGCCAAGGTGTCAAAAGACACTTCTGCCAAGCTGTCAAAAGAGACTCCTGCCAAGCTGTCAAAAGACACTTCTGATAAGTTTTCATCAGTCACTTCTGCTGAACTACTAACAGAACCTGCCAAGCTACATATTAAGCTTGCCCAGGATCCAACACAGTCTTCCAACCAACCAGCAGAGTCTCCTGTCAAGGAACCAGTAGAACCTTCTAAGCACCATGAAGAACTTGCCAAACAGCTGGCAGAACCTACTAAACTATCTGTAGAACCTGTCAGGCGATCAGTAGAACCTGTTAAGGAAGCTGTAGAGCCAACAGTAGCTCCTGATAAGCCAATAACAGAACCTACCAAACCACCTGTAGAATACACTAAGCCAACAGCAGAGCCTGCTAAGCCAACAGCAGATCCTGCTATGGCAGTAGCAGAACGTGCTAAGCCATCAATAATGCCCCCAAAACCACTTGTAGAACCTGTTGAAGAATCAATTAAACTTACACAGAAGATTGCAGTTCCATCTACCAGAGAACTAGCAGAACTCACCAAACAGCCTGCAGAGCTCACCAAGCAGCCTGCAGAACTCAACAAACAACCAGCAGAACTCACCAAGCAGCCTGCAGAGCTCACCAAGCAGCCTGCAGAGCTCACCAAGCAGCTTGCCAAACTCACCAAGCAGCCTGCAGAACTCACCAAGCAGCCTGCAGAACTCACCAAACAACCAGCAGAACTCACCAAGCAGCCTGCAGAACTCACCAAGCAGCCTGCAGAACTCACCAAGCAGCCTGCAGAACTCGCCAAGCATCCTGCAGAACTTGCCAAACAACCAGCAGAACTCCCCAAACAACCTGCAGAACTTGCCAAACAATCAGCAGAACTTGCCAAACAACCAGCAGAACTCATCAAGCAGCCTGCAGAACTCACCAAGCAGCCTGCAGAAGCTTGTATCATGGGACCAATAGCTAGTATAAAGCAAGTGACAGTACTCTCTTCTCAACAGTCAACAGAACCATCTGCCAGGGTTGGTATGATGTATGTTAATTCCCATATCAAAACACTTGATGCATGTGAGTCAAGTTTTACAACAGAGAAACAGATTAACATTGTTTCAAACAGTAATAGTGCCACTGTGGATCATGAAAGTAGCCCGCCAAGTAAAACACAGTGGAAGACAGATAGAGGTAGAGTTGATGGCATTAACATAATGATAGAGACTAATGCAAGGCAAGTGGAAAAGGTGGAAAGTTTAAAAACAAAAACAGGCCAAGTGAAAATGGTGGAAAGTTTAAAAACTAAAACAGGCGAAATGAAAAAAGTGGCAAGTTTAAAAACTAATGTAGTGAAAAAATTTGAAAGTGAAAATATTGCCCATGGACATGATTCAGGTTCAAGTAAGAAAGGTGGAATAATTGAAATCACTCGTGTACAGCTGAAAAATGATTACAAACTGGCTTCTACAAGCAAATATTTGGTGCATGAAGTTCACTCGGATGATGAGGAAACATGTTATCAAAGAAGCAAGTTACTCACAGCAAGTACCAGTACAAAGGGAAAGTCTCACAAAAAGTCTAGTCAACATTATCGTGCAAGAAAATATCTACTAGTGAGGGCCTCAAATATATCAGAAATTACACCAATATCAGTTATTCAAAAAGTGTTCCAGGCTTGTGGAGCTCCTTACCCTGGAAAATATGATGGAGGTGAGTTCTTAAAGTTTTATTTGTGAAGGTTAGTTCCATTGTTCATTTTTTAAACACTGTAGTTCCTTTTGTAATGAATATTATGACACCTGAGTATCTGTACATGTTCACACACAATGTCATTGAGTCCTCTCCTGGTCTGGGTAATTTTTGAATGATTTGTGAAATTCTCTCAAACCCAGTCAACATCTTAAACACAGTAGGTTACAGCTTTCATCATTACTGTACAGGTTCATCAGTAGAGTTGTAGATCTGATTATTTAGATCAGTCAAAGGCCACTGAAGGGTCAGATGTAAAAACAAGGATTAGGAAGATACCCAAGTGAGTGCTTGTACAATATTTTGGTTCATAAATTTTTTTAGAGAACAATAATGTATTGTCTAGTCATGGGACGACTAAGGTTTTGTGAGGCTGTTCATAACCACCGGTAACCCCCTTAATTATGTTACTGATGGGAATTAGCCTTGGGGTTCTGAACAACCTCCTTACAGGTTGATCCTTTGGTCCCTGATTCATTTGTTTCCCCGGGGTGTTCCTGTATTTTCATGACATTAGATGAACATCTTCCTCAGTCCAAAACTTGAGATGACAGAGGCCAATTGAGATTAAACTTAAAGGATAGATTTATGACTACAGTATTAGATTTTGAGATTATAAACTTTCAAGTGTGTTCTAAGTCTGCTATAACCAATGTTCCATCTACGCTTCGCAAAAGCCAATCAAGTGACGTGCACTTCATTTTTCTAGTTGCACCTTTCATCAGCGATGGTGACATCTCTTCTATATTAAATAGTCATCTTAAGAAGTACTGTACACCTAGTTATTATCCCTTGGTTTTATATATTTTCTACTTCTTGCAAACCTATGGTCATTTTACGACAAATATGTGATACAGTACAACATATAGCTTGTTTTTTCTACTTATGATACACATTACAAGTACTTTGATGTTGGTGAACATGACAAAAATTATTCTTCACTGTAATGCAAAAAAAAAAAAAAAAAAACACTAGAGGGAACCTTAGCTATGACCCAAAGGGAATGTTGAGTTTGTAGTACTGTACAGGTATCCTTTACTTTAAGGTAGCAGTAGTTTCATTACTATTCACTATTGATAAATTTGAGAATTATGTGGGTAACATTGTCTGTAATATGCTATTACATAGGCTGGTACAGTATATGGTAAAGCTTGAGTCTTTATAAAGATTTGCAGCTCTATTTCTCTCAGCATGGTAGATTTATTTCCTTTCTTCCACCCCAGAAACTTCCCAATTCTGCCACATTTTGTCACCAACTCTTGATTCAGATTTTCCGATTTACCTCACACGACCTGGGGCTAATAGTTATTGGACATCCCCTTTCCATGCTTCTTCTTTCTGCATCACTGTTAAGTTTTGCAATTGTATTTATGTTATTACAAGTGTAACCTCAGTGATCCGGAACACTTGGGACCTGGCCCTTGCCGGTTTTCTAAATATGGCGGATTTTCCAATTGCTTGCTCTCATGATAATGGCAAAAGCAAATCTCCTTTTGATATGTTTGCCGGGTTTTTCGTCCATGAATATTTATATTATGCTGCATGGAAAGTTGGATAATATCGGTACATTATTAATGTATTTTTTTATCCCTTCAGATGAACTCGTATTTACGTTCCGGACACTTAAGTTTTCTTCGCTTTGTGTAGCGGAGCTCAATAACTTAAGATTACTCGACAGACATCTAAAAGTGAAGCTTGAATATGCATCTCATGGTGGGTATTTATTAATATGAAGTCATTCAGTAATACAGGTTGTACCTCTCTAGTCCGGCATTCTGTGGTCCGGAACGATTTTAGTTTGTCCAATAGGTAGGTAGGCAAAGACCTTATCTGAATTATTATTATTATTACAGGAGTATTAAATTTTTGCCCCTCAGGCCCCAATGTGGGTCAGTGACCTATGCCCGGGTGGGCTAATCCCCGTAAAAAAAACAATAATAAAGCCGCGGGAAATTAAGGTTTGTTTACATCTGGCAGTTCGGATGCTCTCTCTCTCTCTCTCTCTCTGCTTGTCTATACAGAGTACAACATTTAACCCTTCAATATATATGAGCAGTAAATAAGTGTTGCTTTCTTATTCTTATGTAGAGTAATGACGATATGTTTTCACGTGTGCGCATTTACATACGCGCAGTCTCACTTTTATTTTACCATTAATGGTTAGCTACTTATATTGTTCCATTTATTAACATTAAATAACATTACAGGTACTTCAAACAACCATATTAATTTTTTTTACATTAATTTTACTACAGCTACAAGCAGGGTCTTATTTTCTTCAGTTTTATATGTAGAGCCAATCAGTCACTGGTTTTGTAAGCTTTAACAAAAAACAATGCCGGCAGCCGTCTCTCTCCTCGTGTGTTTTAATATTCCACGTATTATTAATAAATTGTATTGTTAATTTTGCACACACAAACATTAATTCAATAAAAACAAATTCAGAAACATTAATTAAAATATATATGAACAGTAAATAGGTGTTGCTTTCATATTCTTACATAAAGTAATGACGATATGTTTTCACGTGTGCGCACTTACATACGCGATCTCTCTTTTTTTCTTTACCATTATCGTAAGCTACTTCTATTGTTCCATTTATTAACATTAAATAACATTACTTAAAACAACCATATTAATTTTACTACAGCTACAACCAAGGTCTTATTTTCTTCAGTTTCATATGTAGAACCAGTCAGTCACTGGTTTTGTAATCAACAAAAACAATGCTGTCTCATTTCCTCGTGTTTTAATATTCTACGTATTATTAATGAATTGTATTGCTCATTTTGCACACAAACATTAATTCAATCAAAAAGACTTTCAGTAATAAACAGTAATGAATCTTTTGTACATAAGAGAAATGACGCTGTTTACATGATTGTGCACGTCGTCTGAACGTTGGTGGGCCGTTCAAACCCGTCGAAATTCGAGTTTCCGCCGTCAAAATTTTTAAATGTTTTTTTTTGTGTTCAAATAGAAAACGTCGAATTAAAAACTTGCAAAATTTGAGAAGCTACTGTACGACATTTAACCCTTCAAAATGTCTTCAAAGAGACCATGAAGCAGAGAAAGTGGTGCTAGTGCTTCCAAGCGTAAGCACAAGTCACTATCAATCCAGGAAAAGGGTAAATTTCCATGATCTGGAAATTTCCATTGTCCGGCACCGGTCAGGTCCCGAGGTTGCCGGACTAGAGAGGTACAACCTGTAGAGAAAGTGGTGCTAGTGCTTCCAAGCATAAGCACAAGTCACTATCTATCCAGGAAACGGGTGAATTTTCATGGTCCGGAAATTTCCATGGTCTGGCATCGGTCAGGTCCCGAGGTTGCCATACTAGAGAGGTACAACCTGTACATAATAATTTTTTTTATGTGATATTTGAGTGGTTTGTGTCATGAAAACTAATGCTCAGGAATTTATGTATAAATACTGTATGGTAATTCACTGGAATAATATGAGTTTATTATATTATAGGAGAATACATAGTATGGCAGCTGGGGAGAACAGATAGTGTAATATTAATGAGGGCGTGTGTGTGGAGAGGAAATAAAAAATGGTTGAGGAATTCAAATAATTGTGTTCAGTTTAACTTGATGGTTAGTAAGAAATGGACAGCTTTAACCCCTTCACTATGGGTTTGCCACTTTTGATATTTTATTTGGCTAATGCCAGATGGTTTTATTCAGTAGAGGGGCTAATAGCTTGTTGCAGGAGTGAGAAATGAGAAGTTAGCTAATTATTGTGCCAGTGAAATATCAGATACAGTGACCCCTCGTTTAACGAACGCCTCGGTTAACGAAATTTCGGTTAACGAACTGCCTTCCATAAGGATCTTCAATTCGGTTAACGAACAAAAATTCGGTTAACGAATTTCTTACGAACCGACCTCAACATGTTTTCGCTTGCACTGACCGGGCAACCAGCTTTAATATCAGTCCGCCAATACATTAATCGGTTCTATGGCTTAAATTCCTTACTATTTTAGTAAATATCAAGAAGTTTATACTATTCAATAATTTTAAAAGTTTAATATTCAATTTTTTAGTCATTTTAACAATTATTGAACATAATTGAAGGTAAAGTGACTAGTTTAATGCGCGCCATCCAGCCTCTTAACACAGCAAACAGGCGTTAGTCTCTCTCTGTTTTCACTGGAGGTAACATCTTGCTTGAGACTCTCTTCAACTAAACGCTTTTTTTCTGTGTTTCCAAGCAAATTATTGGTCATTTTGAAATATATTTTACATATTGACAATATATAATGCAGTGCAGTGTTGATTTAAAGAAAATAATCATGAATTACACCAAGAGAGCTAAAATTTTATGGGTGAAATGGCGCCATGGGGTGACTTCTCTTCCACCCCAATGCCTTCTTTTCTTCCTTCTCCTCCACCCCAATTCTAAATCCCATCATCATCATCATCATCCAGGAGCCTTCTCCATACACACCTCAAAGTAAGTCAACTTTTCTACCATTTTTGGTGAATTTAGGAAATTTTCGGTGAGCTGGAACCAATTACTCAAAAACCCATTGAAACAATGGTTTCGGTTAACGAACTTTTCGGTTAACGAACGACCTTTTGGAACGCATTGAGTTCGTTAACCGAGGGGTCACTGTATGTGTTAAGAATTCATGTAAGTTTTGGTGATGGGTGAAATTTAACTGTTCTGTGTCCATTGAATTTATGTTAAGCTAAACATGTTCAAATTAATATCAGTTAGGAATAGAGAAGTTTGGGTTAGGTGGGTGAGTGTGGCTAGGTAGTGATGTAAGCAATTTTTTTTTTTTACATATATGAGCATAAAAGATTAGTGTAACTTAATTGATTATTGGGAGGATAATCATTTTGTGTACTATCTTAACACTCAAATAAAAGAAGAAATATCAAAGTAGTGCTGCTCAAAATCTTTCTTCTTTATAATGGTTGTTCGGGACCAGCGTGTGTTTGGGTTTTGATGATTTATTTCTTTGTTGGTGCAGATGGAGAGAGTAACTACAACTACCAGGACGAACTGGCTCTAGATAACGAGGTAGAGGAGACCTTAAGGGAAGAGGAGGAGAAAATGGTGGACTATGTGAAGAAGTGGATTGATACAGGTAATAGAGAACAGCCATTCCTGTACTGGACCCGTCAAATATATCTTGTGCATCACCCTCTTGCTGCCAGCCCCCAAAATAAGTCATAAAAACCACTTATGTGAATTCATGTTTATTGTAAGTTCATAAAGTTATAAAGATGAATACAATGTGGAGTGTTATTTGTATTTATTAATTACTGGTAGCTGCTTATTATTTGATAGTGTACCGTATGTTGTTATATAGAGAAAGAAGTATTGCCTATGTGTTGGCTGTACCACAAAGAACAAGCACTGTAAGAGTAAGGAAACAGGTTAACCCATGACAAAGGTGTGCAGGTGTGGGTTTGGTGGAGTCACAGTCAGGTGGTGTTAGGATTTTGTCGTTCGGTTATACTGTATCGTGTTCTACTGACAGTAAATATTGGTAATGGTATCCACTTCCAACATTTATTGTGACCATTTTCAGTATTTACTAGTAAGTATAAAAGGGTAAAGAACCATATTTTTTTAATTATTGCAGGTGCACAGGGCCTTACCTAACACCTGTATAAGCTGTACAGGTAGTGCAGTTTGTAAATGGTTAATATAAAGTGACATTGTGAGGGCTTTGTTGATATTATTGCTCCTATACATTAATTAAAAATAGTCAAGTCTTGGAAATTTTATCATAACATGTCAGATTGAGTGTGATGCTGCATCATGTGATCTGGACTTAGCACCAAGCATCATTCATACTGAATTTTCCTTTGTTTTGTGAGTATTATCCATAGCTTTTTCATTTTTAGGGACTTACTGTACAATGTCATTTTGGGTTGTATTATGTGGTCTTTTGAGAAATTCATTATTTTTTTTTCAAACCATCTATGATGATTGTAAATTTTGGGTACATTTTCCACCTGCACTTACTGTTTTTGTGGATATGGTCGAGATGCACCACATGGCGTTGATAAGACAAATTAGTGTTCCTGGGGTGTCCTTATCAACAGTTACATTTCTAGGTTTTTTGTAAGTCACATATACTTTTTTTCATTTATCTTTGATATACAGTACAGTTCAGTAATATGCTGTGGATGACCAAGACTAACAGAGCATTGTATGGAGTAACTAAATAATTCTGTTTGGTATTATAAGTACTGTACTTGTGAATATTGCAACATATCAGCATTTTCATATTTTGAACATCACCTCTGTAAGAGTTCCATATAATACTTTTATATCATAGGTTCATGGTCATTGTTACTAGAAATTGACTGAGGCATCACCCTCAAAGTTTATTTTATATATATATATATATATATATATATATATATATATATATATATATATATATATATATATATATATATATATATATATATATATATATATATATATATATATATATATATATATATATACACACCCAGACACAGACAGTAAGTACTCGCTTAACGTCAGGGTTACGTTCCTGAAAATGCAAGTTTGTATTGGTACTCACTGATGGGAAGAGGTGGTAGAGCGAGTGTGTGGTAGGTAGTGAAGCAGAGGTGGTGGGAGGGGAGGAGTATGGCGGGAGTGGAGGAGGAGGGCGGGAGACGAAGAGGAGGGCGGGAGACGAAGAGGGTGGTGAGTCACTGAGACTCTGCATCGCGCCAACAGCGTAGCATGGCCAGACGAGAGAGGATAATGTGCCGTAAAAAGTAGTCCGTGACAATGCAAAATGACATTGTACCGAGTCATCGGGAAGTTATATGAATTTTTGGTATCTAAAAATTAGCGACGTAGTACCGAAACAACGTTAAGCGAGCTGACGTTATACGAGGACTTACTGTATACAGGTGCTCCTCTACTTAAGAACGCTCAACTTACAAACTTTGAGATACAAACATCATGACTGAGGGGGGGTTACTTGCCAGAACAGGTGTTTAATGTGGATGAGACTGGATTATTTTGAAGAAAATTACAGATAGAACAAACATTGCCTAAGAGGAGAAGAGTGAGCCAGGTTTTCAGGGTGTATTAAGGGTACAGCTGTACTAAATATCCATAATCTTTTCATTTTTTACAATATGTTTGATATCTACAAGAGTAAAGTTGGACTTACAAACAAGCCTCAGGAACATAACTCATTCGTAAGTAGAGGAGCACCTGTATACTACATATATATTTCACATTACTATATAATAAACTTTTTCCTCCCAGGAATCAATGTTTTTGGTTTCAAAGTGAAGATTTGCATAAAGGATGTGTGTAGCTGTCCTGATCTGTGCTTGGATTATCACACACTAGCAGATAGAAGGAGGAGTCCCGGGTTCTTTGAATATTGGTAAGTTTTATTATGTTAATTGAATTTTTGTTTTATAAGTTTTGCATCACTACTGCCTGTGTGTACGTTTTCTTAGAGTTTTTAAAAGGATTTTTAAATCTTAAAGTGAGTAGGTTAGTTAGGGTGATTCTATCTGATAAATATTCAGTATGACCATTATAAAATAACATGGAGAACCTTTGAACCAGACAGTGCATTCAACACATTACCAGTAGGCTCTTTAGTTTAAATTTAATTTTACATTTAAGTTTTGAACACTCAGCAGTAACACTTGTGATATATGCCCCCAAATTTACTCATATGTTTAGATACATCAGAAGTGAGATTGTTGCATTGTACTCTACAGAGCTTGTATTATGGGTACAGGTACTTCGTATTAAATAATGTTTTTCTAATTTTTATTTTTATTTATTTATTTATTTGTTTATTTTTTAATCTTATACTTTGCAGTGATGAAATGTGCCAGGTAGTTACACGGGGAGAGAATTGTATCCAGGGAGATTCTTGTCCCTATGCGCACACACTCCTGGAGAGAGAGTACCATATCAAGCGATTTAGATCCCTTGTTTGTACTGGTTGGATTGTAAACCGTTGTTGTCCAAAGAAGGAAGAAGTTTGTCCATATGTCCATCCAGGTAATAGTTTGGATCATTCAGTATAAGGTTGTATATTTCACTTAACAACATCTAACCTCACAGTAAGATTTCATCATTTATGCAGTTACAGTCTTTATGCTTTTATCATCATCATAAGCCTTTATTATTCCACCACAAGATGAATATTTCCTTTATGTACTTCACAGTCCTCTGTCTTCAGAATCTCCAAACTTCTTACTCTTATCTATCTATCAAGTAGTTGGTCTTTTCCTGGATGCTATACTTTTACGTGGAATTGAGGCAACAATCACAAAACTGTACAGACACTCCTCAGGTTACAGATGGGTTCTTTCCTGGAGGCTATCTGTAAGCCGGAAGTGACCCTTCCATAGATATGGTACTGTACACTTAATGCCCCGTACACACTGCCTTTCATTACCATCGGCGCTTCTCAGTGGGCATCCCCACCTGTGCAACTCCATTGCTAGTGTTGTGTCTACATTTTAATGGCAATGCTCAGTAAGCATCTGATCAGTTGAGCTCCTAATACCAAAGTGAGTGTACCTGGGACCTGGGAGATTCCAGATAATATTTTTCTTCCAGAAGTTGGAGCCCCTGGCCTAAAATGTACAGTAAACCCTCTGTGGCTGGATGTGAAGATTGTTCAGAGCACTAGATTCACCCCTAAAAGTGGCTTTAACTGTACACTGTAACATTAAAACTTAAAACGGCAGGCATATAAACATCTATAACAGAAGTGTATAAATAGCATTGATGAAAGTTTAAAGAGAGCAATAATGATACAAGTTAGTGTTCAAACTGCGTTGCAGTCGCCCCTGGTACTTGCCTTAGCAACGCAGCAGCGTCCCTAGTAACCGCTGTGCCATGGACCCTCCGACTTCTACACAGTTTCATTGTGGAAGCCCTTAGATACTTGAACTTTATTCTTGCTATTAATTATTTATTTAATTTATTATTGCACTTTTTGTGTGTAGGGTAGTGTGTGTATGTAATCGAGTAAAAAAAAAGAAGAAAATTACATACTGTATACCCTGTATCTACCTGAAATTGAGTTAAAAATACTTTATACTTTATGACGATTACCAGTAGTGTTCAGTATTTATTTTATTTATTTATTTATATTTTTTTGCACTTTCTTTGTGTTAACTAAAGTGTGTATGTAACCATAAAAAAAAAGGAAATTACATTTATCTACACAAAATTACAAAATAAAAAAAGACGTAACATAACAGCTCACAGGTGGGGTATGGTTGGCAGTATCCTCGCTTTGCCTGGGAATTACTTGGTGCTCATTTTAAATAGGACTTATATGCTACAGTTTATAAAAAAACTGTTGAGTTGTTATTATAATTTAGTATTGAAACATCTCCTTTACAAGCTTTAGCAGAACTATAAATGCCACAAATGGATACTTTCTCTTCTCCAAAAAACTTTTTTCTCTGAATTTTTAAATAAAAATAGTTACAAATGTCATCATAGTTGGTCATCTTTTCTTTTGTGTGTGACTCATGTTTGTCAGGTCATCCTATCGCTTAACCTAAACTGAGGGGGTGGAGCATGTACATTTCATGCTTTTGTTTAAAAGATTTGCACACACAGTACTTTTTTGGAATGACTTGTTTGTTGGCCTGAAAATATCCTAGATTGATTTATAATGCTGTGACAGTTGTTTAAAGGATTTAGATGCTTTTATGAATACAATCTAACTGTGATGGGTGTCTTTTATAAAGGGATTATGGAAAAGGAATTATATATATATATTTTTTTTTCACAGAGAGCCCAGATTGTATGTACCATAAGAGCTGGCATGACCTGTATGTTGAGGGACTTGGGAACACACTTACGTTCCTTGTGGAGGCTGTCAGGAATACCTTTAAGCTGCCAATTGCTCCTGGTAAGTCATTCATTGAAATACAGTAGTAGAATCAGTGTGCTTCAAGTTATCTTCGCTAAGCAAAGTTGCCTCTTAACATCCACACACTATGGCATTTTTCAGCAGTTTGCCTTGCCAGTGTTCCTATCATATCCTTACAGTTCTACACTGCCCTTACACCTACTTTCAATGTGCTACCATTGGCTATGTACAGTGTAATAAAACACAGTAGCTATTCAGCCATCACTGATTGAATAGCCTGGTAGTCTACACAGCTGGGATGGCTACATAGACAGCCAGGCTGTATGTATGTATGTATGTATACCTGTGTATATATATATATATATATATATATATATATATATATATATATATATATATATATATATATATATATATATATATATATATATATATATATATATATATATATATATATATATATATATATATATATAGATAGTTGCATGTATACGTATGTTAGTGTAGGTTTGCTGTGGTACCTGATAGTTCATATATATTTTATTTGATATAGCTCAGTCCTCCTAAAGCTGTGCGAGTCTATGTTTGCACTTTGTTCTGGTCAGCCAGCTTATGGAGGTATGGACCAGGAAGTGTGTGTCCTGTAGAGTGACTGGAATCAAGATTAATACAGATTATCGTTTCATTTGCTTTCATCCATTTCTGGTAAGTAGATATGGTAGTTATTTAGGTCCTTGCAGTAGAAGGAAAAATGCGTATAATATCTTTGCTTTCGTTTCTGACTATCCTTCCTTAAGTAGGATAAGGCCTGAATAAGAAAAAATACTAGAATATACAATACTGTGTATATACTTTTTTAACCTATATTTTACTGATTGTAGGATAATGAGAAATGAACAAATGTACAGACTATTTTCCCATTATGAATTATCATTCGGTTATTCTTGTCGATGTGAAAAATGATCTTCCACAACAAGGTCTCACATCTGCTTTATTACACTCCTCACATGAACCCAAGATCACTCTCCTCCTTTTGCCTTTCTTGCATATTTTCCTTTTCCCCCACAATCACAGTGATAAAATGCTGCTAGTGATGTATGAAGCAACATTAGTCAAACTAGATGGATACCTTGGGTCTTTGTTAGGGAAGGAAGGGGAATACCATAGCTTACCTATCTGGTGAGGTTGATAGAAGGAACAAATGACAGTGAATGAGTGAAAGTCTTTGTTGCTGTTTTTATCACCCAGCATAATGTGGGAAAAGGTATTTGAGATGAGATGAAAAGGTGGTCACTCAAATGAAGCATTCAGTTCAATAATAATTGTTCCTTAGGGAATAAAAACGATAAGGAAACTGTTTATATAAGGTAATTTAAGATCTAATGCTGAGAAGGATTTGATAGCACAGTTGAGGAAGCTGCATTGCTTCAACAAATTTTTTAAACAAGATATTAATTACTTAGTTAGAGATGCGTCTCCTGTGGCAGTGCTTCTAATATGCCAGGAAATACATTACAGTGCAGTATATGAGATAAGGTTCACACATTATACTGTACTTGATATATAAGATGACCCCTAGCTTGGGGGAATTTTTTTTAATCTTCAAAAGTCATATTGTATGCCAGTACTGCCTAGGAAACAATGAAACTGCAGCTACTAACCAAGATTTATGTTTTGGTGTTTTATGGCTTGTGACATGTCACTTTATTTTTATTTTATTTTATTTTATTTTATTCTTTCAAAAAAAACCTTAGACTTAGGGTATACAAAAATAAACCGAGCTCAGGTCCAAAAGGGTTAACATGATTCAAGTAGTAACTTTCTCTGCCTGTTTTGGGTGTTGTACTGTATTTATCTCTGTTAGAATATCACTGTGCATTTATTAGTAAGAAATTTTGTAACTTGCTTTTCTTTTCCTTTTCAGGTATACGAGTCTTGGTCATAACTCCGTCACTCCTGGTAGCCAGATTACTGAAGCTCGCTTTGCATGACTTGGCCCAAATTTTCCTTCAGACAGTTGTTTCTGTGACTCATGAGCACCAGAGTTTAGGTTTGTTACCCATTTACATAACCTTATTTAATTCAGCCTTCATCAAATCTTGCCTAACCAGACACTTGGTCTGAAATTTCTCTCCCCTAAGACAAAGGGATACAGAAATGAGCTCACTTCTGTCTGTATAATAAATGCATATCATCCAAATATCTCAGCATCTTTCCGATACTCTCCATCACTGTGCAGTACATCGTGATATGGAGTGCAGTGGCTGAGTGGATACAGTGCTCGCCTCATGTCTTAAGCGTTGCTGGTTCAAGCCTGAGAGACTCCCAGTTCTCCCAGCCATAAATTTGTACCTAACATTATTAGTTTTGGGAAGCGAAGGAGGTGTAGAGTTCAGTGGTGGCCACTGTCCAAGAGGATATTTGAAGACTTAACCAAACACTACTTTGGTCTAACCTAGCCTAGCCTGACTTTATCTAAGATAACCAATATAATCAATAAGGTAAGTTTTGTAAACATACTGTGTTTAATATCATGCCTGTAATATACTACAGGTTGTTTATTAAGTGTTGCCTACAAATACATCATGCTGTCAGCACTGTAGCTCAGTAGTGAAGGATACTCATACCAGTCCTTTTTATTCACTCATTCCTTACCCTCTTCATTTATTCTTATTCACTAACCTTTTCTTTCACTGAATCACCAGCCTTTCATTAACATATAATTTTAGAAAAGGGAACAGTTGTGATTGGGACTCCAGGCGCACTCTCCAAGATACTGGTGACAAAAGAAGCCTCCAGCTACTTGTGCAACACTCGGGCCGTCATTGTTGATGATATCACAAATATCTTGAAGGACTTCATGCATCAACATCAACTGTCATACATTCTTTCAAAAGTCTTGAATAATAAAGGTATTTAAACTATAGTGGATTGTTATGAAGGCTGTAATCCTTGTGGATATTAAAGATTCACCTTGTTTACTGTCTATATAAGTTGAAAATTTTTGCAAACATCTGTGGATATTTTAATTTTTTTGTCCTTTCCTATCACTTTTTATCTCGGGATTGCACTATTTTCCTGGCCAAGGCGTAAAGGTAATGAATAAATGAAGAAAACAATATATATACTGTATTTTACTTGTCATATTAATTTTATAAGTGACTCGTGTATGTGTTTGCCAGAGTTTGTAGGTTAGGACTCTGAAGAACCCATTATGAATGTAGCCTTATGAAGGGGTCTGAGAAACTGGTCTCCTTTGAAGGCTGAGGGGTAATTTATCATGAAGCCACACAATACTGTAGTGTACAACCCAGTCTTCGCGTGACATACCCAGCCTCGCCCTTACCCCAGCTGCCTCCTTCATCTAAGGCAAGCATGGGTTGCCAACTCAACATACAGTGGTCCCTCGGTTAACGAGCACAATCCGTTCCAGCAGGTTGCTCGTTAACCGAAACCATTGTTTCAATGGGTTTTTGGGTAATTGGTTCCAACTCACCGAAAATTGCCTAAATTCAACAAAAAAGGTAGAAAAGTACACTTACTTTGAGGTGTGTATGTAGAAGGCTCCTGGATGATGATGGTGATGATGGGAATTAGAATGGGGGTGGAGGAGAAGGGAGAAGAGAAGGCATTGGGGTGGAAGAGAAGTCACCCCATGGCGCCATTTCACCCATAAAATTTTAGTTCTCTTGGTGTATTTCAAGATTATTTTCTTTAAATCAACACTGCACTGCATTATAAATTGTCAATATGTAAAATATATTTCAAAATGACCAATAATTTGCTTGGAAACACAGAAAAAAACCGTTTAGTTGAAGATAGTCTTAAGCAAGATGTTACCTCCACTGAAAACAGAGACTAACGCCTGTCTGGTGTGTTAACAGGCTGGATGGCACGCCAGAAACTAGTTTCTTTACCTTCAATTATGTTCAATAATTGTTAAAATGACTAAAAAAGTTAATATTAAACTTTTAAAATTATTGAATAGTATAAACTTCTTGATATTTACTAAAATAGTAAGGAATTTAAGCCCTAAAATCGATTACTGTATTGGTGGACTAATACTACAGCTGGTGGACCGCCAAATGCAAGCGAAAACATGTTGAAGTCGGCTCGTAATAAACTCGTTAATCGAGGGATTGCTCGTTAACCGAATTTAAGAATCTTATGGGAGGCAGCTCGTTAACCGAGGCGCTCATTAACCGAGGGACCACTGTATATATCAAGGAGAAGCTGAGTGCTTGACTTTGTTTGCTCTGCACTGGGAAGGTTTTTTAGCTTAGCATGGCCTTTTCTCAAAGGTTAAGTAAATGTGCTGTTGGTCCAACTACAGTCAGTCCTTGACTTACGACGGGGTTAGGGACCGACCAGGTCGTAAGTCGAGGAGTACCTCTACACACATGCTCTGTGCCTGGGCTGTCAAATGAAGAGTATGCTGTACATTGTTCTACAACTTCATATAAATTATTCTTCAGCTTTTAGTGGTAACCATGATTTCTGTGACTTCTTTTTAAAGGATAAATTTGCTATGGGAGGATTAGCTGATCTTCAGGTTCTCCCCAGCTGCCTTAGGGATTCCTGGTCCTCCTAATCTGCATAGACTCTTGCTGACACATACATAAGTTACATTTTCCAGGCTCAGTTGTAAATTGAGAATTTTTTAGATCAGGGTGTGACTTTGCCATGATTATTGCATCTATTTTAAATGACCAGGTACCTAAATGATAGGGCAAAGAAGCTTGGCTTGACACTAGTGCTGTTCTATGTATTTCCACTTTTTTGTGAGTTCACCCATGATATACTTTATAAGTGCTTTCCATCATAGAGAGCAATGTGTTAACAATTTATATATATTTTGTGGATAAAATTATAAAAGGTTACTTACTGACAATCTTGCTGTTGACCTCTGACCTTGTAATCGAGTTTCAAAATATCCTGAATTTACTTAAGATTTAAAGTACTGTATATACAGTACCAGTACTCTACCACCTTCAGCTAGTTACATGTTTCAAGTCAAATGTAAATATATTGTGTGGAGAAATTAATATCCTTTACCAAGGGCAAGAGTTGTGGCAGATAAATAGGCTTTGTTCAGAATGGATCTTTGAAGTTATCTCATACTTTCAGGTTTGAACAGAGTGGTTGTAACAGAAAAATTTAGTGATTATGAAATGAGTATTGCAGCAGACCTTATGAAGACCAAGTTTGTCAAAGCATCAATGGAAAATCTGAACATCAAGAGCTTCAGGAGGGTAAATGGTATGTTGAAGGTATATTTGTGAGTTAAGGTTGGGCATACATTAATATATATGTGAATAATTATGCTAAGCATCATAAGTTGAGCAGACAATAATGTAAAAAGAAGGTGGTTAGAAGCAATGGAAATTATGTGTTTTATACAGTGTGTGTGTGTGTGTGCGCGTGCGTGCGGAGAGGTTAGACAGAGTTGACCACAGCATATATATGTATGTATGGGCATATGAGAAGTGAAAGATGAATACTGTACTGTAGAACAATTGAATGATGCAGATATGGAATGTAGGAAAGAAAGGGGAAGACTTAGAAGGAGAGAATCCAGGAATTTTTATGTATTCTGTAATAAATTGTTTTATTACTTTGGATCCGACTGTACACCTTGAAGAGGTCTCTGATTATTACAGGTTGCAGACAACACAGGTGACTCCATTCAGTGCTGTTACTTGTAGTTTATTCTACTGTTATATAAAAATAGCTAAAATGCAAAATGCATTACATACAATGGAAGCTTAACTATATAATGTACAGTAGTCTTAATTTTTTTTTATACTCATTGACATCAATAGGGCATGAATCTTCCCTTCTGCTTTACATTGGAGTTTGCTCTTCAATCCTTTAATTTTTTTTGTACAGTTTATTTGCTGAAATATATTATTAACAGTATACTGTACAGGGTGTTCCTAAATACCTTTCATAAATCAGGGGGTGTATTCCTGAGACATAAATAAAGATAAATGAATAAATAACCAAATTGTTAATTCTCAATAGTTTCAGAGTTACAGCACATGACAGGTTTGGGAGGAATGTGATGAAACCTATGATATTTGGGGTGTAAATGAAACATCCACTGCTGTTAGTGTCGTTTATTAACAATAATAATGCCGTATGATTTGTACTGGGATTAACATTTAGAGCAAATTTCCAAAGTTCCGTCCATGTTGCTCGGTGCAGGCTTAGCCCATCGCACAAGTGAGTGTCGCATACGTTCAAAGACCACCGGAGGTGTTACGAATGTTCGTCACACTTTCTGCACATGGAGCCACAGTTCCTTGTAGTTTGGGACCTCTGTAACATACACCTTGCTTTTTATGTGACCTCACAGGTAGAAATCAAGGAGATTTATTTCTGGTGACCGTAGGTTTCATCACATTACTACCAAACCTGTCATGTGCTGTAACTCTGAAACTATTGAGAATTAACAATTTGGTTATTTATTCATTTATCTTTATTTATGTCTCAGGAATACACCCCCTGATTTATGAAAGGTATTTATGGAACACCCTGTATTGTATATTTTGTTTATTGTGTTGTTTATAATAAGTTTTGTTTCACAACAGAGAAATATGAAGCTGCTGACTGTGAAGAGATACACAAGCATCACTCATGGTCACCAGAACAGACACACAGGAAAAGATCCCATCATATATCATACAAAAAACATAAAAGGAGGAATTTGTCACCGTTATCTCACAGGTTTCAGAAAGAGAGACATTCATTGTCATCTGAAAAGAAGCTTCAAAAAAGGAGGAGTTTGTCGCCATTTTCTGAAGAGCTTCAGAAAAGGAGGAGTTTGTCGCCATCTTCTGAAGAGCTTCAGAAAAGGAGGAGTTTGTCGCCATCTTCTGAAGAGCTTCAGAAAAGGAGGAGTTTGTCGCCCTTTTCTGAAGAGCTTCAGAAAAGGAGAAGTTTGTCGCCAACATTTGGAAGGCTTCAGAAAAAGAGGAGTCTGTCACCATCATCTGAAAAGAAGCTTCAGAAAAAGAGGAGTCTGTCACCATCATCTGGAAGGCTTCAGAAAAAGAGGATTCTGTCACCATCATCTGAAAAGAAGCTTCAGAAAAAGAGGAGTCTGTCACCATCATCTGGAAGGCTTCAGAAAAAGAGGAGTCTGTCACCATCATCTGAAAAGAAGCTTCAGAAAAAGAGACATGTATTGTCATCATCTAAAAAGAAGTTTCAGAAAAGGAGTGCATTGCCAAATTCTGAAAAGCTTCAGAAAAAGACTAGTCTGTCACCATCATCTGAAAAGAAGCTTCAGAAAAAGAGGAGTTCATTGCCGTCATCTGTAAAGCTTCAGAAACAAAAGAGCCATTCCTCAAAGCGGAAAAGAAGCTGTTCTCCATTGTCCCCCAGTCTTGAAGAGTCCCATAAACAGAGAAGGAGAAGCCTTACAGAATCATCAAACTCATCTGTGGTAAATCTGGCTTCTGGAACACCATCACCTACCTCCTCTAACTAGTATGTTATTTTCTCCTTAACGTCAGTAGTTGTAGTAGAGTACGTACAATATTTTACCTGAAAAACAAAAATCAGCATAACTAGATGAATGGATGGCCATCATATGAAGCTTTATAGGTATTTGTGATTTAGTTAGTGAATACTGAAGGCTTAACAGGCATGGGTGACGATGATGATTGAATAATAAGTTTGAATACAGGAATTTTTCTTAAAATTCTGACTTACTGCGGTAAGTGAGAACATGATCATTTTGTGCCTTATGTGCTCTTACCTTCTTCTTATTCACAAAGGAAAACCCAAAACTCTCATATCTCAAAGCCATTTACACTTATTCTTAACTATGGTGTAACTTAGCCAGTTACATTAAAGTAAAGAATAAAGTGTGATAACTTCCCATACATTAAATTAAAGAATAAAGTGTGATAACTTCCCTACATTAAAGTAAAGAATAAAGTGTGATAACTTCCCATACATTAAAGTAAAGAATAAAGTGTGATAACTTCCCTACATTAAAGTAAAGAATAAAGTGTGATAACTTCCCTACATTAAAGTAAAGAATAAAGTGTGATAACTTCCCTACATTAAAGTAAAGAATAAAGTGTGATAACTTCCCTACATTAAAGTAAAGAATATAGTGTGATAACTTCCCTACATTAAAGTAAAGAATAAAGTGTGATAACTTCCCTACATTAAAGTAAAGAATAAAGTGTGATAACTTCCCTACATTAAAGTAAAGAATAAAGTGTGATAACTTCCCTACATTAAAGTAAAGAATAAAGTGTGATAACTTCCCTACATTAAAGTAAAGAATAAAGTGTGATAACTTCCCTACATTAAAGTAAAGAATAAAGTGTGATAACTTCCCTACATTAAAGTAAAGAATAAAGTGTGATAACTTCCCTACATTAAAGTAAAGAATAAAGTGTGATAACTTCCCTACATTAAAGTAAAGAATAAAGTGTGATAACTTCCCTACATTAAAGTAAAGAATAAAGTGTGATAACTTCCCTACATTAAAGTAAAGAATAAAGTGTGATAACTTCCCTACATTAAAGTAAAGAATATAGTGTGATAACTTCCCATACATTAAAGTAAAGAATAAAGTGTGATAACTTCCCTACATTAAAGTAAAGAATATAGTGTGATAACTTCCCATACATTGCTTAAGTAAACTGAGTCTTATAGAGTACACTGAACCCACACTAATTCAACATTCATTATTTGATATTTTGGGATAATTCAAAATTTTTGGGGTGTAGAACTCTCAAAATTTCATTATTTTTTATTTTTTTTATAATTAGATTGAAAATCTCAAAATAACTCATATGACTTCCCTTATATACAGGCAGTTCCTGATTTGCAAAACTTAATTATTATTATTAAAGTCAAGGAAAATATTAAACAAAAGGTGCAGAGCACACCCAACCTGATGCGCATTATAGCTCGTGTCTATGACTGCATTGTTCATGCCATGTAAACAAAGGAGCAGTATTTTAAGACTGCTCAATTCATCTGCATCAAAGTAAAGATGCAAGAGTCATCATATGTTGTAGGAACATAAAGTATGAATTAATTTTTTAGAAGCGATTAATATTATGAATTTTTTCTTCCTCCACCAGCCCCAACTTTGATGATGAAACCAGGACACTGTTTCTTGCTGCAAAGGAGGACCTAAGAAATGACCACCAGTTAGAATACCAGACATACTCAGAGGTGCCAGAGGTCCATCCAGAGTATGAAGAAAAATATGAAATATTCAAGAGAGAGTACGGGGTGATGTATGGAGAGAATGAAAGCCCACAAGAATGTAAAAAGTTGTGGTTGATCTTTTGGAATGAGTTCATGACCTCAGAGCTCAGAGAAAAGTGGATCAAGAAAAGAGAAAAACTTGTACAGCAGTTTGAAACTGTAACAGCTAAAAAGAAAAGTTCCACTGAAAAACTGAAGGAAAATTTGAAATATCAGATGGAAAAGTGTAACTACATAGCCAGTCCAAGACCTTCATCTGCAGAGTCACCTGAATGCCTCGGACAAATACCGAGCATTGGAAATTTGTCAACCGACTCAGTGCATGGGTGCTCCCTGGATTTAACAGAAAATTATCCCACGAATAGACTTGATGCTTCCAATCAGTGGGAAGGTGATAGTATTTTACAACCCAAAAAAGTTTTGCCTGTTGCTTGTACCTCTCAACAAAAAGATTATTTAACCTGTATGCCAAGCAATGAAAAATCACAAGTGTTGGAGTTCTCCTTGCCTCATACTTTAGCTTTACTTGCAGAGCTGTGTGAGCCATTAGGGTTACTTGGCCCTGCTCTAAGGATCATTATTCATAGAGTGAAGAATTCTGGAACAGACACGGAAAGATTATCTCAAATTTTTGCTGATGATTACAATATTTCACTTATTAAAATGGCTTCAGAAAAGTTAGAAATTCTAAGTGAGAGTGCTGAAGGTAGTTCCAAAGAGAAGTTACTCCAGGGTAGCACTCAGGCTGTAGAATTATTGAAATACATCTCATCGTGTTGTTTGGCTGTGAAGAAGCCATTTAATGGTGTTGACGTTGATAAAGTTGCAAGGGCCACAATGGGAGAGGATGCTGCTAATATTGTCCTGTTTATAAAAAATACGTTGGGATATAAAGGTGTTCTGAACCCCACAGTTGAAGACATAAATGAAATATTTTTGGCTGTATCTTCAAAACATTTTAGTATGGCTCTTGAAAAGTGAATTATTGTTCTCTGCTTTAGTTGATTAACCCATTGAGTGGTAAGGGTTTCTTTCAGTTGAATAAAAGACCCAAGTGTGACACCACTCTTTAAAAGGTTAAGATCCATTTCACATTGTTGCCTGATTGGGTTTATTTTGTAAACTATTTTTAGAATTACTGTACCTGTACTTTATTTTTTTTTTAGTTGAACGGAGAAAACTTATCATTTTTTCATAAAGGACTGTACTTAATTGCTTATTTATACAGTATAAGGAAATGAGCAGTACAAAATAAATGCTTGTTATATAGTAAAAACTACTTTGTATGTATATTTTTGGTGTGTACAGTAAGTCCTCGTTTAACGTTGCCCCTGACAACGTTGTTTCGTTATAACGTCGCTACTCTTTAGATACCCATGATTCTGACAACGTCCCGCCGATTCGGTATAACTTCATCACGGCTTACTTTGTACAGTGCATCACCCTTTCTCGCCCAGTCAGAGCGGGAGGAGGAGCCACCCTCCGGGTCTCAGTGACTCTCCTGCCCTCCTCTCCACTACCCACCACACACTTGCTCCACCTCTGCCCATCAATGAATACAATGCAAAATGATTTAGCTTATTTATATTTTTGGATGTATTATATATACTATTCTCTATAAAAATTCCATTGAATTTATGTATATGTTATGTATTTTATGGGGCAAAGGGAGGCTGGGGAACGTAACTCCTGTATTTTATCTATTTCTTATGGGGAAAATCGATCCTGTTAACGTCTCGGTTTTCAGGAATGGAACCACGACGTTAAGCGAGGACTTACTGTACAGTATAGATTAATTTGGTAAATTACTGGGTATATAAGTTACTTATGGTCTGCAACTTACTAAGAACATGTTAACTCAAGGCTGTGTGTTCCAACTTGAATGTTACTGTACAGTATATTGTACAGGGTGTCTAAAAAATGTATGCACACTGCCTTAAAGACTTTTGTAGAGATCCCACCAGATTACACCAGCACCATTCTCTTCACTGGGAGACCTCACACATTAATAAGTGAAGATAATATTGCTGTTGTATTACAAGCATTCACATGATCCCTCTGGAAATTTGTAAGGCAGTCTAATTTTTTATTTATTTTTTGCTTATTTTAAGATTATATTATGATTCTATACTCTGCTATATTACTAGATTATATAATCCCCAAAACACAGTTTACATTTTTGGGGTCAAATGACCTGCCTACATTATCAAATAACTGTTGTTATGAGCCTTTGTACTTGCAGATACTCTCATCATAAGCTTGGAGTGAGTACATGTTGTTAGGGGAGTCATAATAAGTTTTTTATACGAGGAAGGCTGCATGTGTTTGTGGAAGTGTGTTAACAGATAGAGGTGCTCAAAAACCAAAATATTTTTTTAAGATATAATGTTGTACAGTATTATTAAACACTAATAACATTATGTAATATACAGTATTCCTTTTATACTGTTCAAATAGGTCATTCATGTTTCTTAATTAATAAAAAATTTTAGTTCAGTGCTACAGTAGCTTTTGTACAGCACTTATTTTTATTCTGCATAAGAACTTAGTGTTGTTATAAAACTACTATATAATACTTATGGGATAGTTGATCTGTAATAAAAGTTTTAAGAAATATTGCTTTCTGCAAGATTACATTTAAATTTTATGTTTATCTTTTTGGGGATGAATGTGCTGTAGGTGTGGTGATGGGATGATGCATAAAATAACATGGGTCAACCAAATGGATTATTTCAGGACCTTGTACACATCTGGTAAGGCAAATGAAAAAGAATAAGTGTCAGTGAATAAAGGAGTTTATGGTGTACTTAGCTCGAAGCATTTTGTCTCATAGAGGGGAACAGCTTGTGGGCGAGAGGAGGAACACATATTACTGTAGTTCCTCCACTTTAAGATTCTATTTCCCCTCATCCATGTATTGTGAATTTTTTTCATTATTGAATAAGGGATTTTTGTGGGAGGAAAGTTTGGTCTTCCAGGTGAGTGGGATGTTCATGTTGCAAAGTGGTGCCTGAGGCTTGACATAGAGGAAGGGTTAGGTATGAGAGGAGGGCTTCCTTGTACTGTACAGTATTAACCCTTTGGCTGTAGGAGGTTTCCTTAAGTTGAATAAAATCATCTGGTGGTAGCTATAATAAAATTTTAAAGTGCAAGAATCATATTGAAAGAGTTAAGACATAAATACAGTACCTTGAAAGATATAAATACTCTTAACTCATTTGGTAAAGCATTTGCATCATCATAAGAGAGCAGTTTCATTTAGTATTATTTTCTAGAAATCTGATATAATGTCACATTCCTCCTCTATCTTCTCACAAAACTGATCATGAGACCACTCCCAGAAGAATTTTGTCTTCCAAGATGTCATTTGCTCGATAATGTATGGTGAACACTTTTATCTTCAGTGCACAAGAAGCTAAAGCTGGAGTTTTCCTCAACATACTGTACATAGAAATTGTGGTGATCATTTCCTTGGTTTTGTTTAAATCCCAATGGTGAAACTTGTTCACCTTCAGCTCATGTGTGTGTTTGTTTGTAGTTACCTTGTATCACTATTGGAAAGCAGTTACATTAGTATGGTAGCAGCTGAAGTCATATTCACTTACTGCTCTGACAACTTATGCTTTCATCAGTGGGCCTAATTTGTCGGCCTTATTCTCACATTTGATATGTTTATATTTCTGGATGAGAATTGATTCAAGTTATTGGTTCTTTAAGTGTACATTTGTACAGGTGTAAGAGAGTTTAGTTAGCCATAAATATGTAAAGCTTGGGAGGAACATTGTCTCGAGACACACCCCAGTTCCTCTTATCATAATACTGATTAGTTGCTGTCAACTTTGGTCCATTTCTTGGGCATACTACAGTTACATACTACAAAGTCTAAATTTGGTTCTTAGCAGTTGACTAAATTGCAAATACCATAGTGCTGTGGTGGCTGAGTTTTGTGAATACCTTTAGTGGATGGCCAGGGGTGGATCCAGGAATATCAGAAGGGGGTGTCCAAGTAGTTGTGGATGGGGGAACAAAGTGAGCCCATCCAGAATTTTTTTTATCTGACCAATATCATGAGCACTTTGAGGCCCTTTTGAAGCCATGTGCACTTGATATTAGGAACTATTCTGAAGTCAATAACAAAAACTATTTACTATATAAAAACTCTTGAGTACAATATACTGCTTTTAAGAAAAACTTGTAATTTTCTGAAGAAAAATGGGGGACCAGGACCCCCTGGATCTGTCCCTGACGGCTGAAGTTACATAAATCAAGAATAATAAAGTTTACTGTTCCTTTGTACAAACTCCCATTATCCGAGTTCACATAATTTAAAACTCCCCGAATTCAAGATGCGTACTACAGATCAAATGACTTTATACTATGAACACGTATAAAATATTATATTTTCCCCCCTTCACTGGTGCCTGCCTGATTGCTCGTCCCAGTTTTGATTTTTTAACTTCAATTTATTTTCAGTCTTCACCGTTGTCACTATGGCCTGTCTTAGCTAAAGGCACAATATTACACTCGCTGATCGACCTTTGGATGGGCAATCACAGCCATGAATGCAATTCGTTTAAAATTTTCTGAAGAAATCTTGTCATATGGCGTTAGTGTGGGCTAATCCCCTAAAATAAAAAATGCAATTTCATTTATAAATTGAGATGACCTGTATCTTTGGTAAATCTTGTGGCTTTGGGCAGAGTATTCATTTAGAGGTGTACAATACTGCGTTAAATGGTTGAGCAACATTTAAAAACATGTCTAATACCTGTACAAGTTTATCAAGAATACTAAGATTTCACAAACTTCTTGTAATACCTTTACAGTAACTAGCTAATATTATTTGGAAACCAATGAGACAGGCCAAGGATCTGGGGTCACGTAGGCCCCATTGGGGTCCTAGGCAGAAGGTTCAGGGAGATCCTATCCCAGTGTCCTGCAAAATTACTACTACGAAATAAGTTACACCTATGTGGTGGCCGAGAACACCAGTTGAGTAGAATTGGAGTCAACTGGTCGCAGCCAACTCGCCGGTGTGACTTATTTCGTAGATGCAAACATTTTGCACAGCTCCAGAAGCTTTCCACAGAAGAATCTCAATTTATTCTCGGGTTTATGATTTTGACAACTTCATAAACAGAACAGTGTGTGATATGGTGCAGTAAACTGATGTTTTGAACCTTCGAAGGTTTTTAAGAATCTACAGTAGACGCTTAGGTATCCTCCAATTATTATTAAAGCTCCTATGCCTTGGGTTCTGAATATCATCAGCAAAGCTAATGGAAACCACTTAGTAAAAAAAAAAAAAAAAAAAATTATGAAATTTTTAGTCTCTTATCACGGTATAATATTCGTCACATTTTCAGGGTTGGCATCTACACCCACTAAAAATTATTTGGCACCCATACGGCGTGATACAATATGACACGGGTGCCGAATAATTTTTTAGTGGGTGTACACTGTACAGTCAGCCAAAGATCCAGCGACCCCTCCCCGAGTCTCGTACTGGCAATTTTACCTGCCAATACTTAGTAAAGTAAGACTGTATGTAAAGGAGATTGTGTTGGTGGATCTATTTTTGGCTGCATTACTGTCATGATAAATATTAAACAATCCAAAGGTAAAATTTTTATAATAATAAACTATTGTTATTTAAGATCTTGAGATGTTTCCAAATGTTCTTATAGTTGTTTAAAAAATGAAGAAAATTTGATCTGAGAATCTTGTCGCAGTCCTCGTTCCTCGAAATTGATCTGCCAATTTATTATTATAATTTCTACATTATTTAACCAAATGTACGAACTTTTGGAATCTTCTCATTATCTTAACTAAGAATGAATAGTTTATTATGAAAATTCTATCTTTGAATTGTTTAATATTTATCCTGACAGTAAGGCGGCCGAAAATATATCCACCAATCACCTTTACTTACAACCTTACTTTTCCAAGTACTGCCAGTAAGAGACTCAGGGTGGGATCTTGGCTGACTGTACGTTGAGCGTTGACGCTAGCTGAATTATAGGAAGTTTGTTGTACGGAGAGTACAACAACGAATAGTGGGAATCTAACTAACCGCTGACATTAAGCGCTAGAGCCCGGCCCATCGTCGATTATTCATGGGCGCCGGGGTTTATAACCCCGCGACCCTCGTGACGCCTGCAACAGGTGTGCCGCCATTGTTGTCTTGCTAGAGTGTCGGCGCCGTCGTTCGCCCCGCTGCCAGACGCTGCAGTCGGCACCCCCCATATTCCATAAGATATAAGAAACGAAAATTCAAATTAAATTGCAATTAGAATGTACCAATCTAAAAAAAAAAACTATACAATTAGTTTACCTGGACTTGGCATTATACTAAATAGTTTTATTGTCTCGATCATTAGTTTCGTGAATTGGTTTCCGTCCTTTGCGCGACAGCCAAAATGGTCTCTGAAAATATTTGTCGGGCAGCAGCTACTTAAACCTCATAAAGACTTGATATTAGGAGATATTCTGATGTCAATAGTAATTACATTTTACTGTACAACAATGAGTACAATCTTACATTAAAGAAAAAGTATTGGAATTTTCTGATGAAAAGGGGGGTCAGGATCCCCCTGGATTCGCCCCTGTGAAGAGTAGTTTCAAGTTCAATGTACGCTGCCCCATGCCATGAAAAAAGTACGTAGTCAATATTGTGTTCATGCTTGAGTTTCCTATCTCAAAAAGTGACTGATATATCTCTCCGACAACTAATCATGAAACTGACCTAAGAGGAAAGAAAAAAAGGGAATAATATGCGTATATACTTTTAATTCCAGTAGACAGCACAATGCTACCCTCCCTGACTTGATTTTCATGTGTACAGTAATAGAATTTTTATCTTTGTAAATTCGGAGACTCCCATGGCTCAAGTTTCACCACGGGGAGCAAACAACTGAAATTTTACATTCAGGAACTGACAATTCTCCCGGAATTGTTTGGTATATTAGTTTTTTCACATGACTACAAATGTTGAAGCTATGCATAAATACTGTATTAGTCCTGTAGCTCCGTCCCAGTGTCGATATGGGACCTTCGAAATTCACCAAATTATTTTTGATGACGCAAAATAATTATTTTACAGTAACAATATTTATACAATAATGATATTATTATTGGTAAGGTTATAATGCTGGTGCCTTAATTTAGGATATGTATCCATGTAAGCGTCCTCTTTGATGACGTGTCTTTACCCATAATCCTCTCGAGGCAACAAGCAGATAGACTAGAATGACCTAAGTGTTGAAATGATCTGGAAAGTTAGTGAACAGTGTGATAATGCCTCGGGTGCACGGCATAAAAAACAAAGACATAGTCGAACTAGTTGTGAAAGCCAGACCCCTAGAAACAATTGTTTTAGTGTTGGTTAAGAAGTGGCCCAAAATATGGCTCCTCCCAGACAAGTTGACATATGCCAACCGGAGAGGAAATGGTTGTTGTGAATAGTGTTACAACCTACAATCAATTTATTAGTGCTTGGACACCGGCAACTTAATTTCCTGCTTCATCTCGGTAAAGGTAATTAAAGTTTCATTTTGTTTCCACAATGTTTGGTCAAATTGTCGTTTCGGTCATCCAGCGTTTCCGTTGGAAATGTATATTTTTCGAGTATTTTTAATCGATAAAATTACCAACAATATTACTTGTTTAAAGTGAGCAGGGCTTTGAAGTCGAGGGAAAATGTGGGGTAAAATACTAA